CATTTAAAACAATAAAAACAGTTATATACAAGATTAAAACAACTTAGCTTTCGCTGGTCCTCTGCCAGCATCCTCAGAGTGGGGCTTAGGGGGTGGGAAAGTTCTTTTTATCCCCTTGCTAATCCAATTGCCTACTCATTGCCCTCGTGACAGGGCCACTCTTCCTGATTGCCTGTAACTGCCTTAACTGTTCTGCCCTCTCTTTTTTGCACTCCAATTTTGTATTTTTCTGCTCTGTCATCTTTGTGCCGCCTCCTCCCTGCGCTGTTATTACCAACACACTACTCAATCCCTCCTCTCTACCCAATGCAAGGTGCCTCCTCCGATTCGACACCACACGAGTCCTGTCACAGAGTTCCTCCTTTTTATTCTCCCTGTTGGGCTGCTGGTCTACCTGCCATTTTTGCATTCCATTGCCAGTTCCTATCTCATCTCCCTCCTCCAACTCCCCTCCTCTCCTAACCTGCCGATTCATACATCCTTTGTTGTCCATTCCTGTCATCCTTCCCTTCTCCAATTTTTCCCTTTCCCTAACCTGCCTACTTGTGTACCATTCCTGCCTACCCTCATCCTCTCCTATCATTCTTCCCTTCTCCAAATTATCTCTCCTCCTCTTCTGTCGGTCTCCCTGCTGTTCCTGTTTCCCATCCTGCCTTCCTATCAACCTTCCTCTCTCAGGTAGTTTGTCTACCCCCTCTGTCTGCCGATCTCCCTGCTGTTCCTGTCCTGCCCGATCCATTCCTGTCCTTCTTTGCTCCCTTAACATTTCCCCCCCCCACACACGCCGATCCGTCCATGCCTGTATGACATCATTCATTCCTATCACCCCTTCTTTCTCCAATTCTCCTCTATCTCTAATCTGCCCATCCTTTCCTACGTCATCCATCACTGTCAATCCCCCTTCCTTCAACCCTCCCACCTGTCGATTAATATATTGCTCCTGCCTTTCGTCAACCATTCCTATCGATGTTCTCTTCCTCAATGTCTTTCCCTTCCTAATTCGCTGCTCTACCTGCTGTTCCTGTTTGCCCTCCTCCACTGCTGTCCATCTTCCCCTCTCCAATGTCCTCCCCGTAATCTGCTGACCTGCCTGTTGTTCATCCATTACTGTCCATCCTCTCTTTTCTAGCATTCCTCCTCCTCTAACCTGCTGTCCTACATGCTGTTCCCACATGCCAACATCCATTCCTATTAAACCCTCCTTCCCAAGCTTTCCTCCCCCCCAATCCGCCATCCTGCCTGTTATTCTTATCTGCCCTTCTCCTTTCCTGTCAGTCTCACCCTCTCCTGTTTCCTCCCACCCTCTCCAATCCACTGCTCTGTTTGCTGTTCCTTCCAGCATTCTTCCTCCCCTTACCTGCTGTCCTACTGTTCCCACCTACTGACATGCGTTCTGTTGGACTCTCCTTTCCAAACTCCCCCCCCCCAAATTCTGTCTGTTACGGGCGGTGCATGCTGTTTTCTGCTTCCTTCTAGTTCCTCCAACGATCCCCTCCGAGCCACATTCTAGTCCCCTCCGTAGCTAGGAGGGGATGGTTGGAGGAACTAGAAGGAAGCAGAAAACAGCATGCACCGCCCGTAACAGACAGAATTATAAATGGGAAACTAGTGAAACATCCACTAACTGCAAGGAAAGGGGAAATACCCCAGCTAACTTTAGAATTAGTGAGAGAGATACACGTGATAGCACACGTAAAAGGAGTGAGAAAGAACTACACCCCGATGCAGGACACACACTCAGATTACAATGCATACAGCTGGGACCCATGACACGATCCAAGAGCCTAGCGCAAATGATTGGAGGCTGCATATAAGCCCTCCCAACGACTGCCGTCTACACCCTGATGATGTCAAGAGCTCTTGACGAAAGCTAGGTTTAGTAAATAAAATTTTAACATTTTTATAATTTTATTCTCTTGGTGTTCGACTATTTATTGATTTTAATATGAGTATACCCAAGAGTCATATTTTTACTTGCATAGCTGATATATATATATATATATATACACACATTAAAAAGGTTAAAAATGTGAACCCTAGGGATATTCATAATAAAATATAAAAATGAACACTAGGGTAATAAAAACTAAAGAAGTTTTTAATGGGTTAAAACTATAAAAGTTTTAAAAAGCGCCAAGCGAGCGCTTCCAACAAGGTAAAAAAGGGGAGAACTAAGGAAGAACACGGTAACCAGGAGGGACGCGCCCCGATGACTGTGCACACACCCCCAGGATTGAGCACTCGGAGTAAGACACGTGCGAGACAGCTGGGCATGACAACGAACAAGAGACGACCCCTCCACCATGCGGAATACCCCCCCACGCTATACCAGACTCGTAACAATTTACGGGATTACCAGGATGATAAACATATTAAAACCGAAAGCATTGAGACCGGAAATATATGGGACTCTAAAAGTAGCAACCGGACAGAAAGGGGCGGAGAAAGGAACTTGGAACGTCCACCACCACCCAAGCCTGAGGGGAGATCGGAACATGAAAGCAACCGAAATAACTGGAATTGCCATTCAGCTAATCTGAGGTTGGGAGAACTGGAGACGGACGAGGATAAAAATACAACTAAGAAGAGAAAAAAAGCGCAGGCCAACTACACACGGCTGAACCAATCAGGCCCCATAACAAGATCAAGGAGCCGAGTGCAAACCTCGGCACGCCTATAAAAAGACCTTCTCATTCTCTGGCACGCCAGCCCTGAGGATGCCGGCAGGTGACGGCGAAAGCTTGGCGCTTTTTAAAACTTTTATAGTTTTAACCCATTAAAAACTTCTTTAGTTTTTATTACCCTAGTGTTCATTTTTATATTTTATTATATACACACATGTATACATGTGTGTGTGTATACACACACACACACACACACACACACACACACACACATGTATATGTACATAAAACTTTCTTCATGTTACCAAAAAGTTTTCATCTCTTTGATCTACAAGAAAGGAAATATTGTGGTCATCTTGGGCTTGGGAGAGACTGAGTAGAAGACACTGTTCCTGACTTTTCTGCCAGGAAGTTCTGGAGAGAATCGCTCTGGAGGCTCCAGATGAACATCAGCCTAGCAGGAGCTTAGCAATCAAGACCTTAGGCTGACCAAGCCAGCAAACATAAAGGGCAGCTAAAGGCATGAGCTGAGGAGGCCACAGATCCAGGACCTTCTCCCACTCCTAAAATGTGTCATGTTGAGCACTGAGCACCAAAATATGTTGTGTGAAGCTTCTTGCCTGTCAAGAGCATTCCCACTCTTGATTGCCTACACTCCGGGCAAGCTCTGTTTATGAACCATCGCTGTGCAACAGCCCTGAGGAATAAACATCAGGTGCTAGAGGATTAAAAAGAACAAGGCAGTCCAGCAGTCCTAGAATTTAAATATTATTAAGCTAGCTGTTTGGCTTGGATTATAAAATGGATTACAATCACCATGTGGTTGGATTTCTTCAAGCAGGGGAACAGGACTTGCATTAATGGAGACTATGCAATAATAAATGTTTGGAATAAGTGCAGTAAAAGAATTTGTCCAGGCTTATCACCACTTGCCTTTTTATTATTTATTTTTATGGAAATCAAAAAGAAATTTATTCAATGGTGAAACAAGATCTCTTAATTAATAAGAGAAAGGTAAAATCTTCTGAGACTTTGAGTATAGTTTTAAAAGAACTGCCAGAACAAAGAGATTTACTGGCCTTATTTGTAAACTGCTGGTGAAACCATAAATAAATTATCAAAAGATGGTCAAAAAGATGCAGAATTTAGATACAATAATAGGAATGTAAGGGAAAAGGAATATTAAATTCACACCAAATATTGTACTTAGAGAAAACTGGTAAATGTGTTTTACTATTGGCATATTACTCTAAAATGGAAACATCATTTTCTAAACATTGTTGGAAATGCAGTGATCAAGTTTGATTATTCTTCCATATTGGGTGGCAAAACTTAACAGTTTTGAAAAATTATTTATAATAGAAGGAAGCAAATTTTGAATTTCCTTTTCAACTTGCTATTTTTTTTGTTATTTTTAAATATTTTTCTGTTAAACATTTCCACAAAAAAAATATTAAACTAGCTCTGTGTTTGCTAATTGGTGCAAGGACACTTTACACTTCCCATGGAAAAGTACTCTTGGTTCTTAATCCTGAAAAAAAAAACTAATTAAGATTTGGGGGTATTTATGTCTAAAATAGTCTGATGTTTTAAAAGAAAATGTGACTCAGATTTTAACTCAACTTGGTAACCAGTTTTGAACTTTAACTCTAACTTCTCATGAGAAGGGAAGCTATATAAATTTGATTAATAAATAAATAGGTTTGTACTACATCCGATTTTATGTTATCTGTTAGCATAAAATCTATATTGCTTGAACAGAAATGATTGTAATTCATAATCTCACTTTATGATTTATAACGGGTTGACTATTGATTTGTTAATGATACATTACTTGGATTTTAACAAGATTGGTAGTTTTTAAAATGATGTAGTACATTTGGTTACTGAAACTAATTAATAAAATATTGAAAATTTAACCTAATTTCATGATACTTGTAAATCTCCTGTTTATGTAGTTCATGCTTCAGCAACTGATAATGTTAGTGCAATTATAGAAAAAAAGAGATTTTAGCAAAATGCTTGTCTTTAGTGATGATATAGTGAGAAATGATTGAAACCAAGAAATGATCATTTTCTGACCTGCTCCATTTATCTAAATCCAGAAGTTTCATGTAAGAAACATTTGCATGAATGTACTTCTGCTATGAAGAATACAGTTTGCTCTCTCAGATTCAAAAGCTATTAATTTGAGGTTGTGAGAGAAAATTCACACATCAAAAGTTTACTATTAATCAAATTGCCCTTGACTTCCTAAGTAAAAGTGAGCTAGTAGGACAGATGGTAATGGCATTAACTAAAACGCATCGTGACCAAGATATGGACAAAAGTTGTTAACACTTAAAGCAGATAATATTGTAAATTGTATGTTTACAGAATTTCCATGAAGCTGTCTTAAAAGTGCTGGGAGATGAGTATGACAGTGATCATGAAGAAACAAAGCTCAAGGAAGGACTGAAAGAAATCCCAGAAATCTATAATCTACACCAAGAAATACTAGGAGAACTGGAAGAAAAAGTTCTTAACTGGTAAATATAATTAGATGGGGTTTTGAATGACACTTAAGGCAGTATTCCTACTCCAGTGTTTAGAAAGCTTCAGAAAACACCTTCTCTTCAGAAGTTTTAGAAAATCAAATATAAGTGTGATACAGTTTGCTTATTTACCTGCTTTATCATAAAATATAAAACCTTTACATAATGCTTGTTATCAAATCAGTACTAAGTAGTTTCTCTGAATGTGGGCAAATTCTGTTATGCTGTATGCAAAATTAGGTAGACTTTAACTGCCCACTGATAATCCACCACCAATCCTAATATTATTTTGTCTGTCCTTTATTTTTATCTTTTATTATGATTATTGTTGTTTTTAATGTTTTTATTTGTAATGTTGGTCTGTGACCATAATAAAAATTGATTGATATATAAGGCCTGTTAGAAAAATGTGCATTACACAGAACCAATCCTGATCAAGAGTTATGTATTTATCTATTAAAACACAGTAGTTTCATCTTCAGTAAATCCTAGGTAATTTTTCTCTGTCATTCAGCTACTATTTCATTTTGTTGGAAATTTAGGATTCCAACATAAGGAAGTATATAGGTCCCTTCTATGCTTATGAGCAAGAATCACACTAAATCAGAAAAAAATAAAATGAATATACAAGCTTTTTAACTATTTTGCTTGTTACGTTTGTTGCATTTATAAAGAAACACAAACTACCAGTCATATCTTATAGCTTACCAACTATTTGACCATCCCTTACTGCCTAGCAGGAATCAGAACCAACTGGGACTTTATCAAACTGGAGCATTACAAGATATGTGGATTTACTATTGGAACAAAAGTCAATCTTTATGAGTTCGATTTCTGGTTAATGTCATTTAAAAGTCCTGATGAAAAAGATTATCTAGCTAAATTAAGTATGGAGAATTTTCTATTCCTTTTTTTCCCCTTTGCTCTCAATGGTTTTAGGGAAGAACACCAGAAAGTGGCTGATATTTTCCTCTCCAGAGAATCAGGATTTAATCACCACACAACTTACATCATGCAGTTTGATAGGAATTTGGCTTTGCTGGATGATGTTCGCCTTAAATCCTCCCAGCTGGATACTATCATTAAAGAGTTTGAGGTAAAGTCTCTTTGTGTTTGTATGTCATGTTGTTTTATTATTGTAGTTCTACTATTATCTCTCTTGTTCTTTCCCTTCTTCCCTCTCTAAAACAACTAAGAGTTTGGAGCATGGAAGTTGATATTAGCGATAATTCAATTCAAGAATGGCTTTAAAAAGAAAGTAAACCAGGAAGAGTACAAATACATATTAAGGCTATGTGGGGAGAGAAGGAGGAGGAGGAGGGGGGGGAGAGGAAGGGAGGGGGGAGAGGGAGGGAGAGGGGTGATTTTTCATTCTCACATGCAGGGGCAACCATGGAGTAGGAAATGGCAAGAATTGTAATTCAATAGTTATTTACTCCCTAGGTTCTCCATCTGTGGTAACTGATATATACAGTAGATCTCAGTGTGTTTCTTGTCCTTTGATTTCCTTATGGCCTCTAAAGTATTTCTTTTGTATTCTTACAACTTGACTGGTCAGGGATATTTGTTCCCATTTTATGTCTTCATCATCTCCCAATTTTTTGCTATATGCTTCATATGTTTCTGCTTCTCTTTTTGTTCCACTGGAAAAGTATTAATGCAAAAATATTAATATATAAAACCATGCAAAAAGATTTACATCTTATTTATTTTCATGAGTAACAGAACGTTAAATTGTGGGTGCTCAGTTTACATCAGAGGACTGATCTGAACACGTGTCTCTCATGTCTAGGTCCAGTTCAAAATGTTTTGCTGGCATATTCATGTATCCCTTATCTTCTGCATCAGATCAACATTTTACAATTTTTTCATGCAATTTAGCTCATAATTCTTGCCTTTTCTTTTTCCTTGTATTTTCTGAAGCAGAAAACTATAGGCAAGGTTTAGGACCTATCAGGACCATCCTCAAATAAATTTGAAATACACACATAAATGACTATCTACCTGCTTAAGCTTCACCTCACTTGTTGAATAGTTTCACTTGTGAATTAACTCCAATCCTATTTTAGGGGAAAAAATGGTGCCTACTTCAATTGCCCTTTCTGCTTCTTGCTGGATGGCTAGTATGACTTTTAACAGTGCAAATATATGTTTAATTTTAGTTTGAATATATATCACTTTTTTATTTGTAAAGAAGAGAGAAGTGGCAACATTTACTTAAGAGACAAAAAAGGTTATGAGAATAAATTGGCTACTGTATTTTCAGTGTTGCATTGGCTATCAGCTGCTTGAAATATGGAATATGTCTCCCTCTACAGCATATAAGAAATACCAGTAATAATAATTCATTAAAATGACCATTTATCAACACTTGTTGAATGTATTTATCTGTCTGAAAATTCTATGGAATCCTTGGTGCAAATGCAGATATCTGATTTGCAATAATTGTTTTTTTTTTAATTATCTAGAACTATATTGCCTTGTGGACTGCATCTTCTTGCTGCCATAGAGTAGAGGCAAAATTTTTATCAATTTTTTTTCCTGGCCCAAGAAAAAGAAAAGTCATAAGCAAATGCTCATTAAAACATATGTGTCTCTGATGTTTTAGCATCTATATGTAAATTGCTTCCTTAATTAATTCCTTAATTAGGGGTGTGATGGCTCAGGAGTTAAAGATGCTGAGCTTGTCAGCTAGAAAGTGCCGCACAACGGGGTGAACTCCCATTCCTGCCCAAGTTCCTGCCCACCTAGCAGTTTGAAGGCATGCAAAATGCAACTAGATTAATAGGTACCACCTCAGTGGGACGTATTCCATACACCTTTGGCGTATAGTCGTGCTGGCCACATGACCACAGAAAATGTCTTCGGAAAATACTGGCTTTCTCGGCCAAGAAACAGAAATGAGCGCCACACCCTAGAATCGGACACAATTGGACAGAGAAACCTTTATCTTTACTTTGCTTCCTTAATGTCAGAGAAAATTGTAACTGTTCCTTAATGCCCCTTGACAAGAAAAGATTTTCTGCACATACATCAGAACTGGGACCCTACTCTCAATCAGGATGTATGACTGATGGATTTAGCAGGCACTGGATCTAGGTTTATGAATTCTGTATTATTTATGTGAAGCGGCTCTCTTGAATTCCTTAAACATACCTCCTAAGGCACTTCCAATGCTCATCATAGCACTAGGCAGAGCAATGTTGTGTCCCTGTGGCTCCACAATGCCATAGGTTTTTGCAGTTCATGAGAGTTTCTTGCTGCTCCAGACATACTGTTTCAGCAGCATTTCCTCAAAATTCCTTTGAAACTGTAGAACGGGTGCATTCCCATTGGTAGAAACTCCTGCTTTGTCCTAGCTACCAATTTTATTTTTATATTTTCTTATAGCTAAGGTGCCACAATACTTTGCCATCATCCCTCTCCCCTCCCCAGCTGTCCCAGCACTCCAAAGCACTGTAGTAAGATGTTCTCAAACCTCTGTCGCCATCACTATTTAATTTATGTATCCAGAGCATTTCTCCCATGTTCAATCTTGTTCTGCACACACAATTTGCACCACTCTGGGATTATACCACATCCCTAGGTTACCATAGTTTTAAGAAGCACTTATTAAGCTCTTGCTTATCAAGTGCTTTTTTAAAAAAAAATATTGTTTTATCATAGAAAATAAAATACAAAACAATAAAACAAACAAACACAATGAAACAAAAGCATACATTCAACCCTAACAACAACAAAAAAGAAAAAAAAGTAGTGTCCAAAAAAAAGAGGGATTTGAAGACTGGTGTAATGTTTAACTCAACCTGTTGAGCTAAATATATGAAGAAAAAGCGGTCAACAGGTTGAACTAAACATTACACTAATCTTCAAATGCATCTGTTAACCATCTGTTATTATATTTAGCATGTAGAAAGTCCACAAACGATTTCCAGTCTCTTATAAAGCTGTCTAGTCCATTATCTCTAATCAAAGTAGTTAATTTTGCCATCTGCCAATTCAATCAATTTCAAAATCCATTCTTCAACAGTTGGCATCTCTTTTTCTTTCCAGTTTTAGGCAAGTACAGGCCTCACATGTGAAAGAATAGCACCCCAAACTGTTTTTCAATTGGCTTGTTCTTCATACCTAAAAGAACAGCTTCAGGTTTCATTAATATTTATATCTTAAATATTTTTCGCATTGTGATTCTTAGGCTTATCCAGTATGTGTTCATATATTTGCAAGACCACCATGTATGATAAAATGAACCTGGATTTTGCCTATATTTTCAGCACTTGCTTATCCAGTTCTAACTATTTGCATACCTGAAAAGTATCTCAGAAGTTAGTACCTGATCCATTCTCCAAAAGAGTTTTGGTCTTTTTTAAGCTTAGCTTCTTTAGGAGGAATGCACAGCCTTGACTGACTTTGCTGATATTTGTGCAACACTTCTGAAGATGCTTTTATGTGTAAATATCAGTGGTTTTTATTATGTGCTCTTCGTCATCTCCCCTGCAAGGACCCAGAAAACAGGATAAAAATATATTTCATGGGAACAGTGTGGTCCCTATTAAATAAGAGGCAAGGGTTGTGACACTAATGTTTTTGTCTTAGCCTTTTATGCTGCCCTTCGCTTGGAGTTAATGGAATTTTTATTTTAGCCATAAATTTGAGCTCAGAAGGTTCATGTAATATATGTGTGAGAGAAGCATAAAGATCGAGAAAAAGAGATTTCTCCATTGGTGGGATTCAGCTGGTTCGCACCACTTCGGCAGAACTGGTAGCTAATTTTTTGTTGCCCAGGCCCAGAATGGACTTCCGGAAGTGGCATCCACACAAAGAAACCAGTTGTTCACATATTTGAATCCCACCACTGGATTTCTCATGATTTTCTCAGGCAGAATGGTATCCCAATATGAGTAAATTAAAAGGATTATAGCAATTGAGGAAGAGAGAAGGAAGAAAATGAGTTCTAAAATTGATTCTGATCAAAACTGAAAATGAGTCATTGTGAGGGAGCAATGTATTTTCTGATCAAGCTTTATGAATTGCTTTCCTGTGCATTATGATAAAAAAATACATTTGTTCCCCTTGTGATATAGTTAAAAATCAAGAATATAGTTGTTTAAGATGGTACTGACAGCAGTTTTCATCCTAGAAACCTGGTTAGTTATACCTGTAGAGACCCATCCCTTTGGCTTACCATCACTGTATTGATGACAAGACTTCCTTCCCCTTGGAGAAGTTATAGTGTAAATTTAGACATAGGAGGAATCAAGAGAAGAAGGGGAAAGAAGAGGAAACAGTTGGCTGAGCTTACTTTGTGGGGTTCTTGGAGCTTGGTTGTTTTCTTGCAGACTTTTCATTACCCAACTAGGTAACATCATCAGGTGTTAGGACTTTTAATACATTTTTTCCTATTCATTAAACATCTAATTTCTCTCCCACAGCAGCTTCCCACACTTTCTGCCCCAGCATTATAAATACAGAAAAATACAAGGAGGGCAAAAGACAGAGATACTAGTAATTTATTTTTGCTAAATGGAACTGGAGTTCCTTCTAGGTACAGGCATGGTGAAAACAGAGGACATACACAGGGGTATTTGGTGACTGAGTCAACAAACCATTGACTGGCCAGAAAGGACAAGCACTGACTGGCTGACAATTCTCTAGACTTGCAAATGTCTTAATGTGGTATTGTTTTAAAATGGTCTTCATTTCCTGATGTCTGAATGCAAATAGTCAATATTTCCAAAGGTGAAGTTTGAGCTGAATTGAGGAGGGTAAGAAAATGGAAAGTCTGATTGTCTTGAAGAGACCAGAGAAACTAGTTAGAAACACAACAATCCAAAACTGGTGCTTGACGTCACTACAGTATCCCTGATAGGGATAACTTATGCCACACCCCTCACCCCTGACTCTGTTTTGTGATAAACTGTTCTGAATTGTGTGAATCAAATGATGGTGACCCTCGTTGTTTTTTCAGCTAAGTCTGTGTTTATTTTTCCATGTTGCTATTTAAATTCAGAGCTTCTGTTTTGGAAGATGAAATGGTTTTCTTTTGCTAATGAGTCCTAAATTGCTGCCAAAAATGATATATTCAAAGGAAAAGAACAGTCTGCTTCCTGTTCAGCCTTTACCTCTATGATCCTTGCTACATTTATAAAAGAGTAGAAACATCTAGGTTTTACTATTTGTGATCTGGTCAAAATAGATGACAGTAGAATTGAGATCAATGGGTCATGCCTTCCCAAATAGCAATGAAGTCACATCCATTTCTTCAGTAGCTCTCTGACACTGAGCATGCGTCAAAACTTCCACAGTGCACTCAAAGCTCATGTGTTTAAGTTGAACTCTTGCCTAGTAGACTGCATATAACAGTAATGTCTAGTTCTAGTGGAAATGTCTGTTAATTTATATTAGGCCTAAGATGTCAATGTCAACCCTGCTTAGGTCAGGATCGGTCCAGCTAGCATCAGTGAATAAGCAGTAATATAAAAATACTATGTAGTTTAGACAAGGTTCAGAATTCCACTTGGAACATAATCTCTGGCTTCAACCACAACATAAATAAGACTTTTGACATTTAATTTCAGGATTATTAACACACTTCTATTGTAAAATATGTCACTGCCTAATTGTTAGGGAATACTTCGATATGCCATTACAAATGTGTGTGAAACTTTGCAAAGGTGATTACTATCTTCATGTAAAAAAAGACCAGTTTCATATTATTTTCTGCTTGTTGGAACTCTAACCTTTACACTTTTTCTTCCCTTCTTTTGAGGACAGCAGGTTCGTGATGGCAGTCCCTTGAATGTGAAACACCAGCTCTTGAAAGTGGTGCAGCGCATATTCCAGTACCATATGCTACTTACAGGTAAAAAAAAATCATCTTTATAATTAAGGAAACTTCACTTTCCTGTTTAGGCTGTGGCACCTGCAAATTTAGCCATTGCAATTTGTCCTCAATTTGCATTTTTGAAATGATTCTCATTTTTCCTCTTTAAAAATCAAGGAAGAGAAAGAGAGCTAAAAGGAAAGAGAAAGTAAAATGCATTCTGTTTTATTGTTTTAAGTTTGCAGCATTAAAGCTGATCTAAAATAGTGAAGAATGTTAGCCAGTGTCCCACTTGCAGCATTAGATAAGGCAGGATAAGATTCTTATCAATCAGTTGGGATTGCTATGTATTTTTCCTGTATTTCATTCTATTTTGAATTTAATAAAAACAAAATACAGAGATGAGGCACATTGCTCTACAATAATCTGTGAGCTTACTATCTTCTGAGCTGTCATATATTAAATATGGTAAATATTATGTGCTGAAACTATGTACAGATCATTCAGTCATTTGTTATTCTTGATGGAACTGTATGTCATATATTCTAGTCAAAATTCACCATTAATGCCTATGTGCCAATATCTCATTTTTGTTTCTGATGAGGTATCTGTGAGGTATCCCAAATAGTTGAAAAGCCTCACTGGCTAAAATTGGCTGACTGAATTTAATGCCAAGTTATCGCTTCTTACGAGTCCATTGATTTCATCAATATGCATTATGAACATTATCAGGAATAGCCCGTCCCAGGAGTTGAGAACTATAGTTTAGGTTTATAAAACAATCACTATAACAACAGTCGCAAATCCGAAGAGACTAAAATTAAACGAACTGCAGCAAGAACTTCCTACTGTGAGAGTTTGGTAATTCATAGAATACTTGGCAGGTGGGATGAAAGATTTGAGCTTTTCATTTACAATTTCCTGAAACATCTTGGATTTTTCTGAGAACAACAAATACTTCTGTCTGGGAAATTGAACAGCTTTCTAAAGCAAATGGTGCTTTGCTGAGCTTTGCAATTTGGGGAAGGCATTGGGATGTAACTCAAGAGGGAAAAGGTGAGGGGAAAGGGAAAAGAAAAATCAGAAAAGCTAAGTGCCAGTGTTTAAACTTCTGCAGCTGATTTAGTGACACATTGCTGGGGCAGTGGGAAGCCCCCTTCAATTGAATGGTTACCAGATGATAGCTGAGGAGGGGGAAATCCTGAAAATCCCATGGCAGCCATGCTTGTCTGCCCTTGCAGACTCTGAAGAATAACAGAACAAAAGAGTTGGAAGGGACTTTGGAGGTCTTCTACTCAAGCAGGAGACCCTATACAAGGGGTCTTCAAACTTGGCCCTTTTATGACTTGTGGACTTCAGTCCCAGAATTCCTCAGCCAGCACAGCTGAGGAATTCTGGGAGGTGAACTCCACAAGTTATAAAAGGGCCAAGTTTGAAGACCCCTTGCCCTATACCATTCCGATTGGTTGTCTAATCTCTTTTTTAAAACCTACAAAATCTGGAAACAAGCCATTCCGTTGATTAATTCTAACATTTCCCCCTCTCCCAATAATATTTGGCTATAGAAATTTAAGGGATAATCTTCTCTACCTTCCATCTTAGGAAACAGATGGTTTCTATTGTTCATCTCTCCTCTTCACATAATGGAAAATGTCTTCAGTTTGAACCAAACTGTTTTAAGTTCCTAGGCCTAGGTAAAATGTAAAGAAAGTATATGAAAAGAACTGGGTTTATTTAATGAAATTTGTCACTAAAGAAATTTTTCAGAGATGAAAATGTTACCTCTTCATTTCTATGGAAATTGAAACCATAATTTGTGTTTCATATCTTATGTAGTCATGAAGTGGGACTAGAAAATGCATAATTTTTGATAAAGGGATGCTGGGGAACATTAGCAGGAGTAACTGTTACTCTTAGGTGTAGTTTGTGGGCTTCCTAGGAACCAAAATTATTGCAAAAAATGATTCCCTCCGCTTTGGGGGAAAATATCTATTGATTTCAATTCTGTCTGTGTTGATTTTGAATGGTTGATCCCCATGCATTTTTATTTGTCTCTGATGACTCAAGTAGTAAGAAACAGAAGTGTTTATAGTCTTTAGTGTTCAATAAATATCCCACTATTGTTGCAGAATGTAGTGTCTGAATATTTGTCTGAAATGGTATAGGATTTCCTACCTGAGCAGGGGGTTGGACTAGAAGACCTCCAAGGTCCCTTCTAACTCTGTTATAATGTTATAATAGCCCCTGTAAATACACAGAGTGGCATCTTTAAGTTTGAAGTTATTTGGTCTTGGTCATTTCAGACAAGCTTCTTAAATTACATCAGGATTTGTACCTTATTTTCTTGGTTTAACTCTTTTTTTCCTCTAATACAGAGACAACAGACATTCCCTTTTTCTCATTAAAAGGCTTCCTCATCACATGCCAGCATTGTATCATTTCCCCATGCTGCTGCTTTCATTTGTATTACTAAATTAGAATAATAAAATCTACTGCAGCATAGCCAAAGCACTACAGCTGCAGGATTTCTAACTTCCTATGCACATTTGGGAGAAATTATTGTAAACCACAATGATTCATCAGCTGGGGTAAGCAATGCCTCAAATCACAAGAGACGTCTTTGTGTATAACTTACACAGATATTGCAAATTGGTTATTGCAGCAGCTCTTCCCTGAGTGACTTAGTAACTAGTCCAAAGAGCTCCACAAGGAACAGCGTCCCTCATCACTTTTATATTGACTATGTAAGTTTCCGCTCATACCAGTTACCTCACAGCATCTATATCTGGTTTCAAGTATACCAGCATTAAGTATGATCTTCTTGATTAAACAGAATGCTGCTGAGAATTAGTTTATGTTTGCCTATATGTGATTAATCACAATTATAAGAGCCGACTCTGGCAAGGAGAAAACTTGATGTAAACATAGTGCAATCACCACTACTACCAGTTCCAGGCCATCCAGAGACTATGTATCCACTAGCTCTGAAGGGCAAGATGAGGGTCCTCTGTATGTGGGGATTTACTATCCTTGGTCTTGGATGGGGTTGCACTACCTCAGATGGCTCCAATGCATAATCTGGGGTCCTCTTGGACTCACTCATTAAGGAGGAGGTAGCAATTGTGGCTAGGAGGGCTTTTGCCCAACTTTGTGCACCAGTTATGCTCTTTTTAAATTGAGAAGCCTTTCTTTCAGTCTTGATCATCTCCGTGGGTTAATACAATATGCTCTACATGGAACTACCCTTGAAGAATAAATATCTGGATGCTACAGCTGGTGCAGAAAGTGGCACAGACAGTTTTAGGCACCCCGAGAGTTGCATATGTAACACCTCTGCTATTGACTTGCATTGGGTGCCAATTTGCTTCTGGGTCCAATTCAAGGTGTTAGACCTTTAAAGCCCTTTATGAGATCAGCTACTTGAGGAACCATCTTGTACCAATTACATCAACCTGTCCCACCAGCCAGGCAGGGAGGATATGTTATGGACCCCATCAATCAAAGAATTTTATTTGGCAGGATCTAGAAAGAGAGCCTCCTCTGCCATTGCCCCTGTCCTATGGAGCATCTTGCCCCCAGAGGTGAAGCAAGCCCCCACTCTGCTGGATTTCTGAAAGAGGGTCAAGACCTGGCTCTGCTAACTGCCTTGGGGGGTCCAAGAATGATATGCGGCTCTGAGAGGGTTTTGTGACTTGAGGGCACTCTGCCTGCCTTTTAAACTTTTTAATGTGTTTTTACTCCTATTTTTAACTTTGTATTTATCTATGTCCCTTTTATATGGCTGTATGGCTTTTGTTTTACATGGGTGAAATGGGCATAAATTTTATTTGTGTGTGTGTGTGTGTGTGAGAGAGAGAGAGAGAGAGAGAGAGAGAGGGAGAGGGAGAGAAAGAGAGAGAGGCAGTCAGGCAGACAGAATTTATCAGAGATACAGTATACATTACGGGTGTCAAACTCGCAACGTCACATGACATGTTGCGATGTATCATGACTTTTTTTCCATTGTCGGCAATGGGGTGGGTGCGGTTTTGGCATGACGCATCCAGCCCAAGGGCCAGCAGTTTAACACCCCTGGTATATAGCATCTGTGATTTCTTTGCATTGCAATGGTCAGGCAACCATTGTGTTCAAGGCTTCGTTCTTGTTTGGCATAACATGCCTATCTGGCATGTCCAAGAGTCTCCTGCCAACAAAATCCAAGTGCTGAATAAGGACTTAAATGTCTGGGCAGCTCTGATTTATTGCCAAGTCCTGATGTGAAGCCTAACAATAATAATTTCAGCTTTGGCTGAGCAGCAATATAATTAAAGCTGAAAACAGTGTGAAAAAGCATTCCAGTGTCTCAGGCTCTGTGGAAAAGTGCAATTAAACTTTGTTACACTTTTTAAAATCAAACAATGAACATGATGCAGGAAAACTATGTGGAATGATGTTATTGTTGCTGTTATAAAGTTGTCCATCCTTTCAGGTCAGCTGTGTATGGCTTTGGCTGGTTCCTGAGACAAAGTTGGCAAATGTATTATGGGGCAGTTAGTGAGGAATCTGTGGGCCATGTCAAGCAGAACAATGATAGTAAAGGAGTTAGTGGAAGAAGAAAAAAAATATACAGTATAAAAAGAAGATATACAGTATATTCCCTCTTTTATTGCAGGACAGTTTAGGAAATGGAAAGGAAGAAAGAGATAGGTTGAGTTTGACTTTTCTGGAGCTGGGTCCCATTTCATCAAGAAGAAGGTCTGTAGCATCCTATGACTCTGGGCTACAAACCCCGAGACGCTGATCTTAACTCTGCTATTTAGATAGTTGTAGTTAGATTAATTAGCAGATCAAAAACAATCTGAGATTTCTGACACATGTTTAATCCTATTTTCCCCACAGATTACTTGAATAATCTCTGCCCTGATTCTGCTGAATATGAAGATACACAAGGTAATTTTACACAACCTCATTTTACCCAGGGCTGGGAATGGCAAAGTTCATGTTGCTTTGAGTTGACGCCATCTATTTGTTTTGAATTTTTAATGAAATCAGAATTCATTAGATTAGATGCACTTCATTCTAGAATGCCTATCTAGAATGAAGAGCATGTTTAATGGTTATTTAATAAAAGATTCTGCTAAGTCCTACTTTTCTGATAACTGAGGATATGACTTTGAATTCTAAATGTCCTTATTGAATTTTTTAGGTTTTATCTTCATGATTAAGAACCTAGGAGACTAAATTTGTGGGATGTGTGATAAGGACTTTGTTTGAAAACTCCACACACTCTTAAAGGGCTCTTAACATGTATTCTGATTCAAACTTAACTTTGTCAACTATATTGACAAAAAAGAGAAGTTTAGCCTGAATTAGGCTTTTAAGCAGACTCCTGCGAGTCCCTTGGACTGCAAGGCGTTCAAACCGGTCAGTCCTAGAAGACATCAACCCCGACTGCTCTTTAGAAGGCCAGATCCTGAAGTTGAAACTCAAATACTTTGGACACCTAATGAGAAGGAAGGACTCACTGGAGAAGGGCCTAATGCTGGGAAAGATTGAGGGCAATAGAAGAAGGAGATGATAGAGAATGAGGTGGCTGGATGGAGTCACTGAAGCAGTAGGTGTGAACTTAAATGGACTCCAGAAGATGGTAGAGGACAGGAAGACCTGGAGGAACGTTGTCCATGGGGTCGCGGACACGACTTCACAATTAACAAGGCTTTTAAGCATATGCAGCAGAAAACTTAATCTCTGAGTTAAAAGAGAAACTTTTGTTCTATGATTCATGAGATTGTAGAATTAGAATGGAACTTCTGTTTTATCTTTTTATATTATTTCTACCATATGGAAAGGGTGTGGCTACATTAGAAACTTCTAATACCTTAATTGCAGGCAGTTTATATTTCTAGTATATACGTGGAAAGATCATCCTGTTATTTCTAATATCAGCCCGTTCTAATAATTATTCTTTTTGTTTTGTAAAAGCAAAGGCAGAATTAATTCTTTAGGTTGTAGAATGAGATAATGGATTATAAAACATCAACTCTTATGTTTAAACTATGATGGTTTCTGCGCAGTAGAAACAATATATTTATACTAAAAAAAAAAGCCTTTGTTCTCCTGGGGAAAAGTATTGTTTTGAAAGAATGCTAAAAGCCCTTTACATAGAAGGCTGTAGTAAAAAATAATAATAATAGTACATAATTTTACTTTATAAGTTTCATAAATTCATGTTATTTCATTGCATTGCAGCGGCCTTGCTTATCATATCAGAACTTACAGATAGAGCCAATGATAGCATACAACAAGGGGTGAGTGCTAAGTCCTGATTTTAGAAATTGTAAATCAACGATATTTTGATTATTTATTGTTAAAAATGAAATAATTCATAAGAGACTTACAATAATGGTATATTCAAGTATGACAATATATGTGCATTTTGATGTTTTAACTTTGTATGTGTGTGTGATATATAATATTATACTCACCCATTAAGGTATTTATGTCCAGCAAGTTCTGTCCATAGAAATGAAATGATTGGTTATGGATTTTTTTAGAACAAAGTAATGGGAGAGCACAACAGCAGGGAAATTGTCCAATTCCCATGCGGTAGCTCACAATACTGAAACAGCTTAAGGTTGCAGTGTAGATGTGCCATGTGAATTATTTGAGAACCTCAATGGAAAAATAATAACTCTGCCTTGGTAGGTTTCAGTTTTAGCATGTTTTTCTTCATCAAGGCTTCCGGACCTCAGGATAGGTCTACAGTTTCATCAATATTACTCATGGCAGAAACGTAAAGCTAAATATTATTGGAATACTGGTGTTATTGAACCCAGAACCAATGCATGATCTCTCCCAGTCATTTCATGTAGATGTTAAACAGGAAGAAAAAACCCCCACAGCATCCCAGCATCTCATCTCATATCACCATTGAGTTGAATTATCTACTGAGGGACAAGTGGAACCACTGCAAAATAATGCCTCTAATCCCCAAAGGCAATCCAGATAACTACCATGGAAGATATCAAAAGCTATTGAGAGCCTTATTAGAACCAGGACAACCACAGATCCAGACAAAAATCATCTACTAATGTGACCAAATGTCTATGGAGATTCTCAGTCATCTAGGTCATAGTTATCTCAAAGGTGCTTTTTCCCGAAACAACTGGACTTTCTTGTTTTTTCTTTGAAGATGTTTTGCTTCTCATCCAAGAAGCTTCTTCAACTCTGTTTGAAAGTTGTCTCCATCCCAGGTCCAGGTCTGAATACTGACTAAAAAGGGCTCCAGATAATCTGCTTCATCTAGGATGCTCTATAGCCAATTCTTCACCTTGTTTACCCTCCCCCCGTTGATTTCTGATACCAGTTCCTGCCATTTTGACATGGAGTATACAATTTGCCCATGAAATAGGCATATCATTTTAAAAACCACCACCACAACAACAGAGAAGACTCAATTACAGTAGTGATAAGAGCTGAAGGACCAGGTTAGGGACAGATTATCATGGAGAAAATCTATTTGGTTGCTAGGAGCTGACAACAATTTGATGACATACAGTATAATCAGCATCATCAATCAACCCATCTTTATTGTATCCCTCAGATCCTCCCCCCTTGTTGAATGAGCCCCATCCCTATCAAAAGATTTCTAATAATAACTGCTCTAGAGCAACTGCTACATCTAGAGCAATCTAAATAAAGATTATTGGACAATAACAGTAACAATAGCACTTAAGACTTATATACTGTTTCATAGTGCTTTACAGCCCTCTCTAAGCAGTTTACAGAGCCAGCTTATTGCCCCAACAATCTGGGTCCTCACTTTACCGACCTCAGAGGGATGGAAGGCTGAGTCAACCTTGACAATTACCCTCCCTGGGACTGGACTATGCCAGCTTTTGTTTGAATGAGCATAGGAAGTGGAAGAATTCTTACATGCAGTTTAAGAATAAAAACAGCCCTTCTCTCTCCCTCCCTCCCTCTCTCTTTCTCTCTCTCTCTCTCCCTTCCTCCCCCCCCCTCTCTTTTCTTTCCACAAATGGCCCATTAAAGAAGCACGGAGGGAATCACTGCATAGTGTCTTTTGATTCGCAATGCTAGTAGGAGCCTTCTGAACGTGCACATAGACTCACAGCCCCTACAAACCATCTGGGTGATTAAAAGGTTCCAAAGGAATCACAAACAACAGAGACCTGAGGGTTGAGACATCATAAGAGCGAACTGAAGCTGTGAATATAATGACTGTAATTCATTAAATCTCATTCTTTTTGTATCTATGTGCCATCCAATCCTGTCTCTTTAGTAGCAACAGAAACCTCATTAGTTTCATTTTAGATAGTGAGATTTTACAGCTCGTTTGTGCTCATTGATTGTGTCCAACCTTTTCAACATTGGTACATAGTCAATAGGGTGAGAGTCTGGTAAATTCTGATCTCTGAAAAGGAGGCCAAATTTTATGGTGTATTTAATGTGTTACTATTACCTGTTAGGACCACAGCTGTAAAACTATTACTAATGGACGAAAAATAAAGCTGATCCTATTAATGACTTGAAAGTTTAAGAGCAGACCAACATGGAATCCTAAAGTGAAATGTAGACTGGAAAGATAAATGAAAACTTAAAAAAAATATTCTAAAAAAATAAGTTAAGTTTAATTCAAGGCAGAGTGCATCTGCCTCAGCAGATGGCAGAGCCTGAATAGCTTTGGAAACTAAGCAAACTCAAACTCTACTTAATGCCAGGTAACTCCCAAGACTATAGGCAAAACAGGATTTTTTTAAAAAATGCAGAGGGAAGCCATTGCATACTGTTGCCATAAACACTACATGAATGTGAATCACCAGAAACCCAACACAGCTGGAAATTATTTCTGTTCCAAGCAGCCAAAACATCCAACTTTATGAAAAATGAAGTGAATGTAGACGTTTCATATAAAATTTCTCACTTAAAATTCAATTTATAACAGTATAATGTATTGATTATCTTGACTATGTGCACAGCCCTTCCCCACCCCCAATGGTAGGGCCAAAGCAAGCAAAACACATTCATGGAATTCCCACTTGCATGAATGACATTATTAAAGAAAATAAGGGTAATCCAATCTGGATCAGGATCCCATCCTTACTGTATTCTTGCACTATTCTATTTCTCTAGAATTTTCTTTCTTTATTAATCACGTTATATGGAGACTGATGATGCTATACTTCATTTGCTTTCCTTCATTCAAACAGAAGCATATCATATGCATTAAATGTAGTAAATTTCTATTAAGCCCCATTATTTGCTTCTTTTTTGTCCACAGGAAAATTTGCAGAAATTGGTACATATAGAGCACAGTGTCAAGGGACAGAGCAACCTTCTACAACCAGGAAGAGTAAGTTCTTTTTGATTAACAGTATTATATAAAGATTTGAGGTTCAGTTCAGTAAATGTTGAGTTCAATAGATCTGATATTCTTGATAATTTGTCAATATTCACAACAGTATGACACTGCAAACTTTAGGGTTTGATTAAGCCATTTCTCTTTAATTTAAAAGGCAATTAATGAGTGCCTAGAGTTGTGTCACATGTTGAACTACTGAATGTAAACAAGAAAAGATGTATTAGTGCCTCTATTTTCTTTCTCAGATATTTCTTAAAGAAGGGACGTTAATGAAAGTCTCTGGGAAAAATAGGCATCCTCGACATTTATTCTTGGTAAGATTTTGTTTTTACTCTCAATTAATATGCAGTCAGATGTACATGGATGGATCTTTGCAAATAAGGCTGGCAATCAGCAACATATTTCCTAGGGAATAAATGGCATTGGACACAGTGGGACTTGCTTATAAATAAACAGAATTCCAATTTAATGTTGCCACCATATAAATGCTCGTCTGGATGTTATTCCCTAAAACTTTAATAAATATTTATTTAATAAGTTAATAGGCTGCATATCTCAGAGGTGGCTCTGTGATTAAGATGCTGGGCTTGTAGGCTGGAAAGTTGACAACCCAGTTTCAAGATCCGAGCACCATGCAACGGGGTGAGCTCCTGTTCCTTGCCCCAGGTCCTCCCAACCTAGCAGTTCAAAAGCATGCAAATATCCTCCCAACCTAGCAGTTCAAAAGCATGCAAAAGTAGATAAATAGGTACCACTTCAATGGGAAGATAACAGCACTCCATGACACTATGCTGGCCACTTGACCACAGAAATGTCTTCGTACAGTGCTGGATCAATGGCTTGAAACAGAAATGAGCATTGCCCTCTATAGTTGGCAAAAACTAGTGAAATAAAATCTTCAGGGACTCCTCTACCTTCTATCTTTTACCTATCTTTTACCTATCTCATATATATGACTAGATGGGTAACAATTAAAAGAGGTAAAACACAATAAAAATATTGAGATTTCTTTTTTAAAAAACAGCAAAAACAAAAATAACAGCCAAGAGCACTCATAAACACTCAAATTAACCATGAAATATGTTCTCCCATGCTATTGGATCCTCAGGCTCAATAGTAAAGCCATGTTTGTCATGTCTTGTAAAACGCTAGCAGAGTCAATCTGGGGGGTGGAGGGAAATATATTCCAAAGAGATGATATTTCTGCATATATATGACCAGAGCAGATTTAAACCATACTTTAGTTTTGCAGCCTAAAATTGCATTTATCTTGCAGACTCATGTCACATTGCTGACTCATATTCAGCTGGTAATTGATCAATTTACAATTTCATAAGTGTTGTTATAAGTAATGTATTCCCTATCCTATATCCAAGATTTTGATTTCCTTGCCCAAAATGGGGGAACTGTATTTGTATACATTGGGACCAAAATTTTCATCATTAAGTAATGCAGTTGTAAAGCATGATCATCATTAAGTAATGCAGTTGTAAATCATGATGTCACGTGCTTAGCAATAGTAGTTCCAGCAGTTTCCAATTAGTGTTATTAAGCAAGGATCACATTGGTCATGTGACTTCATGTGACCATGACTTCCATTTTCCTGCTGGCTCCCCCATTAACTGTGCTTGTGGGAAGTTGGCAGCAAATGATGGAAATCATGATCAGATAACCATGGCATACTGCAACAGTTGGAACTTCAAGGACTGTTCTTAAGTACAGTTAGCAGTGTTGCAAGTTTGAACAGTTAGTGAACATGTGGTCATTAACTGAAGATTGCCTAAATCAGGGGTCCCCAACCTCCGGTCCATGGATCAGTACCGGTCTGTGGCATGCCAACAACCAGTCCACACAAACAAGTAAAGCCCTATCCCCAGGGTGCAGGCAGTACCCAAAACCATGCGCTCTCTGGTCCATAGAAAAACTGCTCTCCATGGAACCGGTCCCTGGTGCCCAAAAGGTTGGGGACCTCTGGCCTAAATTACATTTATATTCTTATTTGAAGCCCAGTTTTATTCTATCAATATTGTTTTGAATGTTATTTTTTAGTTCTTAAGTAGATTGTAGCTACCTACTTAATTTAGTGTTGTCTGAAAATTTGATAAGCATTTTCTTTATATCTTCATCCAATTCATTAAAAGATTAAAGAAGATTGAGAGCAAGTCCTATGGCTCCCCGCTTGATACCTCCCTCAATTTGGTGAGGAGAAATAGATGAGTATCTTTCTGAGCATGGTTTTCAAATTAGCTGCATATCTATTCAATAGATATGTCATTCAGCTCATACTTAATTGTCAGTTAGAATGTCAAGATACATTATGTCTACATTATTCCCATATTCCACTAAGTAAGTTATCCAATGGAAAATTTAGATAAGATTAGTTCTTAACAAATTCATGCTGAATTCTAAAAATCATTACATTATTTTCAATGCATTTATGGTTGAAATACTTTAATATCTGCTCTAGAATCTTCCAAGGAATTCAACTAACTTTGAATTCATCTAAATTCTGAGTCCAAATTTACTTTTTTCTACGTACTTAGTTCCAGAGCCTGTCAAATTATATTAATGATAGGAGCAGTGGTGGGATTCAAATATGTGAACAACCGGTTCTCTGTGTGGATGCCGCTTCCAGAAGTCCATTCTGGGCCTGGACAACAAAAAATTAGCTACCAGTTCTGCCAAAGTGGTGTGAACCGGCTGAATCCCACCACTGGATAGGAGGTCTCAAAGCATTCCTTTTTTCAGTTAGTAAATGGCTTCAGATACCAACTGCTGTGGGATTAAATAGCAAATTTACCAGCACCAGGGGTTTTTTTTCTTCTTGGTTGCTTTTTTTCCCTTCCTGAAGCATTAAAACAGTAGCTAGAGATATAACGTAGTTTCAGTTTCAATTATGTTTTCCTAGTTTTTTTTGTCATTCAAATGGCAAAGACAAAGTCATTGCTATAAGCTGTGTGCATTAAAATAAAAAGAAAACCATTTCTGAATGAAACACGAATTTAGATTGTGCTGCAAGTTCTGTGACTCAAAATTAGACTGGCTGTTCACTGCAGGGGAGAAAAATAATTATCTCTTGACAGTTGGAAATATTGCAAAAGTGAGTTCTTGCAGGATTTAATGGCACATGAATATACACCAGTTACATCCTTTCCTGTTTTTTATTTCTTCTGCCAAAAATGAATAATACAGTCAGGCATCTGTATTGCTATGAAGTAAAATTTTGGAGTAACAATGAAAGCTAATGATTTGGATCATCAAAAAAAAAAAAAATCCTGTGCAGTCTCATGCTTAGGACTGTGTTTATAAGTTTCAGGTAACAAAACTCCTGAAAAACTTTGGAATATTATTCTGCATAGTTGGTTGACCCAGAAGATAAGTGTAAAAATTCCATGATAGAACTATTAATGTGACTATTGGTTCCTACTCTATCCAATAATTTAAAAAAAATGCATAAAATATAAATGCCCATGTTGCACAACTACAGAATAAATAGCAATTCATTTGGTATGGTACTAAAATAGAATGCATAAATTGGCTCCCTGGAAAGAACAGCTGTTATTGAGTTTGTCGGAATCATGATAAAAATCAGTGCATGTGTTGGAAAGTTAGACCTTCATATAGCATATATTACAGAATGTATTCTGGAAAGTTTTTTAATAGGGATGTTTATATACAAATAATCACATATTTCCTATAATAGTTTAAAAATAAACAAAAATAGTTTAAAAAGTGAAATCTTTAGCAATAGATTTCACTTGAGGACTACCTGTATTCAAATATGATAACAGCTAGAAAGAGTCTAATTTAATTTTTAATGATATAGATTATAGGAATTTGTCCTGAGTAGCATTTAAATAATTGAAAAGGAGTAGAAAGGCTGAGCGCCAAAGAATTGAGGCCTTTGAATTATGGTGCTGGAGAAGACTCCTGCGAGTCCCCTGGACTGCAAGGCAATCAAGCCGGTCGGTCCTAGAGGAGATCAGCTCTGACTGCTCTTTAGAAGGCCAGATCCTGAAGTTGAAACTCAAGTACTTTGGCCACCTAATGATAAAGAAGGACTCACTGGAGAAAAGCCTAATGCTGGGAAAGATTGAGGGCAATAGAAGAAGGGAACGACAGAGAATGAGATGAATGGATGGAGTCAGTGAAGCAATAGGCGTGAGCTTAAATGGATTCCAGAAGATGGTAGAGGACAGGAAGCCCTGGAGGAACATTGTCCATGGGTCATGATGGGTCGGACATGACTTTGCAACTAATAACAACAGCAAATATTCCTCTTTTGGTCTTATGTATGATTATTCTGAAATAAGCCCTATTGAACTTTGCAGACTGCAGTGCAAACCTCTAAAAACAAATATAATTGTCTATTATCCGTTTAGCAACTGCAGATTGCTAAACGGATAGATTGCTAATAGCACATTGCTTTTTAAAGAATTATTTATTGAAAAATCAGAGGAAACAAAATAGAATCTGTATTCAAATAGCATGTTAATGTTAACCATATTTTAAAAAAACAGGTACCTTTAGATGAAAATCCCCAGGATAATTCCTAAACTTTTTGTTTAGATAGGTTATCAGGTGGATGCTGAAAAGAAAGATGTTGGGGAGAGAGAGACTGGCCGAGCCAGGGGGAGGTATCGAGCAGGGAATTAGTGTAGAATCTTTACAGAAACACAAGAGAGCAATTCCCCTTGAATGCAGCTGAATCTTATCTACCCTGACCCAGGCATAGACTGCCCATCTGTGAAGATTTCTGTGAAATAGCTAACTGTACTCTTCTTGTGTAGATTTTGTGGTTCATGCACAACAGGTGTATGCCTGATATTCTATATATAGGGTACTGCTGGTCAGCAGTTACAGCATGGATCTAAATAAATACACAGTCTAACTAGGTATGAAGCAATTTAACTGGATTTTAAGCATTGTACAAAATAAGCTATTTATTTTGAAGAAACTTCAGTATTGACTTTCAGCATCATCAATTAAAAAGAGACCCAAGGATTTTGCTGAGCTTTCCCAGTTGCAAAAAATCAACAAAAATAAAGCAACACAAATAGAATAAAACCAAATTACTAGCAAAGACATCTTGGTCAATTTGTTAGTAATGTACATAAATATGTGTAATGCTCTTGAAATAACATGGAAATTGTCCACAAAAACAAACATAATCTCAGCCACACAAATGTTTTATGTAGATACTCAAAGCTGACATGAACATTTAGCAACATCATTCCTCTCTTGGCTAGTTCAACAGCATTAATTTGAATTTCCTGGTAGCTAGTCATGAACAGTGGTAGGACTTGAGACATTAGGTACATTTCCCTGAATGTGAAGACAAAACAGATGGGAAATCATTCTAACAGGCAATTAACAACACAACCATCATTAATGTTTAATAAAACCAAAGGATAATAATCATGGCTGCCATAGCAACAGTGCAGTAGGTTAGCTCCCATAGTCATCACCACCTAAAATAATCTTGTGTTTTGTAGAACTTTTTAATATTTTTTTCTTTGAAAACAACAAGCAGAATATATAGTCAGGGCATAATGTTGTGCATGCTGCGGAAAGCCTGACAATCCTTCATGCGAACTAATTTTATGGGATGGCAGGGTGCCTTTCATTAGCTACCTCTTCTGTGACCTGAATTGACCTCATACTAGGTGGCTGCATTAATAGGCAAAGAAAAGGCCATAGCCTTCCCAGTAATTAAGTAAACAATGCATATTCAAAGAAGGCTGCAGCCTAGTTTTTATCTCTGTTTTCTGCAATGAAATCATCTTATTTTAAAGGCTAAATTAATAACTGCATAAATCAAGGTATGTTTGTGGCTTCGTAACAAAATTAACTTCTCTTGATATTCTTCCTATGCTATTTCCTCCTAGAAAGCCACATTTAATCTTTTTTTTTATAACAACCAAGGGAAATTCATTTTCATGATCTATTTTTTAATAGCTAAGAGTCAGGTTTTTCCTCCCTTGACCTTGCCAATTCCCAATTTACAAGAAACTAACCTAGATTTATCTTTGTAGAGATGTTCAGTACTGGAATTTATATAAGATCACAGGGCAGAGTCAGATACTATGATTATTAAATTAATATTGGTAGGATGGGTAATTTACAAGCAATAAATAAATGTGACACAAACTTTCCTGAGAAACCATTGGTTATTTTTTTATGTAGAAAATCTGTATTTGCTGACCTAGAAAAAATAATCTTCTGAGACAGCAATAAATGAAGAATAGTAAGAAGGAGACAAGGGGGATGAATAATGTAAATACAGACTAAAATTTAGACTATTTTTAGAGGTAGTATTTTTAGAGGCAATGTTCATATATACCTGTCAAGTATATGATGAAGCTCTATGTAGTTTTATGATAAAAAGCCCTCAACCAGTCCAGCAGTCTATTAATAACTGCAATAGACTGTATTCTTTATCAAGCATCTGTTTCTTTTAATTGTTCCATCTCCATATTCTCCAAATCTGTAACAGAGGTTTCTTCAATCTTCTAGAAAATACACAGTAGATGCATTTGCTATATCTTTTGCTTTTCAGCAGAACAGAATAACATTGCAAGCTAGACTTATAAAATAATTAATTAGCACAATATTTCACAGACATTAATGGAAGGGCTCCCCGTGTGCCTGAGGAATTCTGGGAGTTGAAATCATCACATCTTAAAGGCTCTGAGATTGAGAAGAATTGATCTATATGAAGTAGCTGAGAGAATCACTGGGGATTTTGGAGCAAGAAGTTACCAATATTTAGTTGACATTCTGCTCTATTTCTCCATAATACCCAAATCAAAAGAGGCTGCGTTGCGTCCTAACTGCATAACATCTTTGGATGCAGCGATGGGTAGACGTGAGCCAGTAAATGGAGATGAATCCCAACATCTTCTGATTTTGTGGGAGGGAGTTTTCCCAAGCTTGGAAATTGGGTAATTGATCTCTTCTGCATGGGTTGTACTCCTTCAGAAAGAATAGGTATATAGGTTTGGGGGTGTCATAATTGTAATTGGAGGCTAGGGATGCCTGTTATTAATTCTGTTCAATATGCACCCAATGCCTGTTCATGGATAAGGATAGCCAAGCTATAATTGTTTGTGCATTGGTAACCTCACATTTAGGTCATCTACATGGAGCTACATTTGCACTTGGTCCAAATATTGTATTTGGTACAGATTACAGCAATCAAATTGTTGGCCTAGCCACACACACGTTTACACATTTCTTAAAACAATTTCATCTGTCTATCTATCTATCTATCTATCTATCTATCTATCTATCTATCTATCTATCATCTATCTATCATCTATCATCTATCCAGTGCTTTTTTTGTAAAAAAAAAAAAAAAAAAAAAAGGTGCCGGAACTCACACATCGTACAACCCGCCTTGCCTATCCTACAAGGTTCCATCCAAAAAAGGTGCCGAAACTCTGTTCCGGACGTTCTATGAAAAAAAAGCCCTGCTTCTATCTATCTATCTATCTATCTATCTATCTATCTATCTATCTATCTATCTATCTATCTATCTATCTATCTATCTAATTCGTTAGTCACTGCATTCAATACAATTCTTTGCCTTAGTCCATTTTATTAAATTTATTGTGTATTGGTTTCAGCTTTGCCATTATTGCCATCTTGCCATCTCTGAAGAAACAGTCTGAGACTAGAATTTCACTGAAGCCAGGATCAGCGGGGACTTGTTTCAAGATTACATATAATTGATTTTATCTTTTCTTCATACAGATGAATGATGTCCTGCTATATACATATCCCCAGAAGGATGGCAAATATCGCCTTAAAAACACATTGGCTGTATCTGGCATGAAGGTAATAGTCGCCCTTTTTTAAATGTACCATTATATTTTGTTCATCTAAAACTTTGTTGTTTTGAATAAAACTAAAATAAAATGGAACACATATACTCTCTAATCAGAATTCCTGTTTTCCTTTCTCCATAACTACTAGGATTTGCTAATGCTATAGGACAGTGGTTCTCAACCTTTTTAATGCCGCGACCCCCAATCGGTTGTAAGTCGAGGACTACTCAACCGGTCGTAAGTCGAGGACTACTCAACTGGTTCAGCACCGTTTGCAGAATAGGATTTTTGGCGGGCTCAGCAGGGCAGAGACAACCTGGACAATTCCTATTGGCTTTTGAAAGCCAATAGAATTAGACTCTATTCAAGAGAGTCTATTCTATTGGCTTTCAAAAGCCAATAGAATAAAAGGGAGTAATACAGCTAAGGAAAAGGGGAAAAAAATGGCGGACTGCATTGTTTGGTGACCCCCGTGAAATGGTTGTGCGACCCCAAATGGAGTCCCGACCCACAGGTTGAGAACCACTGCTATAGGAGAAAGAAATTCACCTTCTATTTTACTTTTTATCTCCACGTTCAGTTCAGTATGGCTCAGTGTGCAGAGTGTTTTTCACCTCTGACTTAGTGGGTTGCCAGAATGCTATGGCCATAATTTCTTTTGGTTTCAGCAAAGCCTTAACTGAAGAGTTGGCTAGGTGTTGATAACAGATGCAGCCACACCTCTTTGGAAAAGGGACTTGATGCTCATCAAAATGAAGTGTAATTTCAATTGAAGCCACATAAGAATCCATCCCGATAATTTTCAACAATGTTTGTGTCATGAAATTTGAATCCTGAAAACAGTTACTAATACTTCAGAAAATAGGAATGGAATTCAGAAATACTTTTATGCTATATAAAATTAAACTGAGATGAAGCAACAGAAGCAACAAGACTAAACAGAATAAAAATAAAAAATGTAGGCAAAAATATCAGATCCACCAGTATAGGATGAAGGATTGCTAATTTGGCAAATATCCCATGAAATAGATCTCTAGATTATAATTAGTCACACAAGCTAAACATTATTCAGTAATGAGATATGATTGTAAAAGGATGGTTTCAGTGTATATTAAACACTTGAAGTTGACAAAAAAACAATCAGTAGTAGTATACAAGTAGAAAGATTAAATGAAAAATATAATATGAAAAATAAGTTGTGTCAGAAAATGTTGAAGAAATGTATTATATTTAATCAGAAGAAGGAAAAACTTAATGGGAACAGAGTCTCCAAAAAGCAAAATAATTGCCACAATAATAAAATGTTTTAATTCTGATTGATGTATTAGATCTGATGGATTAAACTTTCAGAAGGTGAGTTTCATTGAATATTAGGATAAACTTTTTAATAGCATGAGTATTTCAGCTATGGAATCATTTATCTCAACAATGATTGGTTTTTCTTAAGCTGAGAGAACTCTTCAAATAGATGTTTCAAACAGAAGTTTGGATATGCTCTGGTCTATTTGGCCTGCCTGAATCGAGCTAGGGTTTAGACTAGATGCACAAGTTTTCTGAGTCTATGAAAAAAAGAAGTGAAATCAAGGTTCATAAAAGTTTATTCCAATAAATGAGACATGTGATTCAAGCATAAATATTCATTTGAGCAGGACAAACTAACAAGTTTCCTTTGGAGAATGTGCCTTCATAGTCTCTTTTATTTTGAGATGTGGTGAGTCAATTTTTCTTCCACATCTCTTATGGTCATACATTATATTAAAACCTCTACCAGGTTGTTGTCTTCGAACTCATAGGGCATGAAAGAAACTTTCACTTCCTTAAGATATCCATTACTTTTATATCATAAAGAGAAGCTCAACTCTATATGTGGATGTTCTTAGAAGCATCTGCAAAGAACAGCATGTTGCCTTTGATACATGCAAAAAAAATGTAAATGCTCTTGCATATTTGAGAAATAAATTAAGACACTTCCTTCTTTCAAACAAATGCCATTTCTTTCTAGGTTAGCCGTCCAGCAACAAAAAAGGCTCAGAATGTTCTGAAGATTGAATATGCTGAAAATTCCCTAATCCTATCTGCAAGGTAGGCTATGTTATACCATTAGTCAGTCATTTGTTTTTATTGAATTTGTGGGGCAACACATCTCTTCCCCAAGATCTTATTAATGTCTTGCTATATTTAAACTCCAGCAATGCCCATGGAATTCCATTGGATAACAATCAAGTGTCTGACCATAAAATAAGCATCTATTTTAAATGAAGAGTCCAAAGATACAGCAATCTCTATGCTCCTCAGGTACCAAAAGCACTTCAGAAATACTTAGACATAAAAGGAAGAGTAGGAAATCTATTTCTAATAGACATATGGCCTGCTTCTTCATCTTTTGTAACTTTTTTTCCTGTCATGCTTTGCCTGCTTCTCTGCTTATAAGTTCACTTGTCAGATTGTATCCCTGAGGTGATTGGAGGGCTAATGAAACGAAATAATTAGCAAATTCTGCTCAGTGGGCTTAAATGCATTTTTATAGCACTTATATGACAGAAGGAAGATTAAAAACTTTACTGACAACATAATGGGGTCCCTGTTTAAAATAAACCATCTTAATGAATTAACCATTATCAAAATCAGGAAAGGAATGTGGTGGATGACAAAGAAAATCTTGCTGTGTTACTGAATCTGTTCTTTGCCTCTTCCATCTGAAGAATGGTTTGATGCCTAGGCTTTTATTTTCTAACCACTTGCTTTATTTTACTTAATCTGGACAGTAATATCAGTAAAAGCATGAAACAAAACAGCCCCAGTTGTATCTAAGCAGGTAGTCCTCAACATATGACCACAATTAAACCCAAAATTTCTCTTGCTAAGTGAGACATTTGGTCCTTGCAGATACATTTAAGGCATCCATTTTACATTTCCATAACTCCCTGAATTCCAAAGAAGGGGAGAACTCAGCAAATAGAAGCAGATCTTGTGCGATTCTAGCTTAGGTTATTTAACCTTATGTTCGGCTCTTGATTTGAGGCTGTACTGCAGAAATTATAACTGAAACTCTCTCGGTGTGTATGTGTGTGTGTGTGCTGTGTGCTGTGTGTATTACACAGTTTCAAGCACACAATGATCATATTCACACAATGATCAGTTTTCCCTGCTCTGTCCTGCTCTGGAGCAGAAATTTGGTTTTGTTTTTCCAGTTATTACACAGTTATCAATCATACAATGATCACATACAGTGATCAGTTGCACTCCCCCCCTCTCTCTTTCTCTCTCTCTCTCTCTCTCTCTCTCTCTCTCTCTCACACACACACACACACACACACACACACACAAACACACACACACACACACACACACAAACACACTGTCAACTGTCCAACTAGCAAACCCAAAAGAAGGAATCTTCAAGGCAAATGAATGCCATAAAAGAAAAACTTTATTGGAAGTTTATCTTCCAATCTTGGAACTGAAGAAGCAAAACCAGCTCTGGTTTTCCTGCACAAAAACTTGCTTAATTAAACAATAGATTCTCTTGCCCCCACCCACTGGGTTTTCACATTGTCCAATAGTAATACTTCTTTTTGTTATGGGAACAGTCCACTTCTCCATCGAGCACCTGTATTAGTGACCTTGGCATTCTTGCAGGTTCTCACGGTCCGTGAACAGCTTCTTGGAATTCTGTTTCCTCCCTGCACTTTCTATCCCTCCCCCCTTTTCTATGGCAATTTGATTAGTGTTAGAAGCTAGCAGGCATTATAGCAGTTCGATCTTCACACACACACATACACACACACGTGAGTTTTGCCCCATTTAAAAAATGGTCATAAGTCACTTTTTCACTGCTGTTGTAACTTCAGATGGTCACTAAATGAACTGTTGTAAATCAAGGATCACCTGTACTGAAATTAAATTCACTTTCCTAAACTTTGGTCTATCTGCATGCCTGATAGCTTGCTCTAATCTTGCACCCTTCAGCAGTATGTTGAGGTGATATGATATTAGAGAAAGGATGAATGGAGCTGAAAGAAGAGGGATTGAAAGGAAGAGGAAGAATAAATCATGGTTGATGAGAATTTCAAAAGAGAGAAGTGAGAACCTGAAAGAACAAAAGGCAATGTATAAACTGGTGTATGTATGAGATGGAAGGAAAAATTGTTTGCAAGGACGGAGATATGTAAAGTTATATAAGAAAAAGTGTATATATAAACTATATTTAATTATTCTTTCTTTTTTCTTTCTTTTTTTGCTTTTAATGTGTTAGCTTGCTATTTCTAACTCTGTATTTTGTGTCACATTACTTATTCCCAAAAGAGGAAAAGCATGGTGTGGATATGTACATAAATACAAAATTAGTTATCTTAGGGGGAGGTATATATAAGTATATTACAATCTGGAAAATAATTTGCAAAAGCAGTAATATATTAAGGGAAGTTGCATATAAAAACATGTTCCAGCAGAAAATATGCCCCCAAATGTATTGTGGAAAACATTTGCATGCTGATGTGTATATATACAATGCATAATTCCTAGAAAATACTTGAAAAACAAAAATTTGAAAGATGTAAATGTTATAATTAAGTTTTTTGAAAGACATAGACTAAAGAGTGGAAGAATGCTACCTAAAAACACTGAATAACAGTGTTAGATAGCCCTGTAATTACTATTTCTAATAGTAATCAACGTAGTAGTCAAAGGGCATCTGGCTTAGTATTCTTAGTATTCTTAGTCACAATCAAATAGTATTGCTGTGATAAGATAACTTTAATCACTTAGGTAACTTCAGGGTGCTATGGAAGCCTACTATGACACTGGAATGCGTAACAGATTCCTTTCTGTTCTGGTTTCAAGGCTAGGTTAATTTCCCCTTCTCTGTCCTGCTCTGGAGCAGAAATTTGGTTTTGTTTTTCCAGTTATTACACAGTTATCAGTCATACAATGATCACATACAGTGATCAGTCTCTCTCTCTCTCTCTCTCTCAGAGAGAGAGAGAGAGAGAGAGAGAGAGAGAGAGAGAGAGAGAGAGAGAGAGATTCAGTTGTAATTTCCACAGTAAAGCCCCAATCAAGAGCCCAAAATAAGGTTAAACATCCTATGCTAGAATCTCACAAGTTCTGCTTCTATTTTCTGAGTTTGCCAGTTATGGAAATGTAAAATAGAGCCTTAAATGTGTCTGCAAGGACCAAAAATGTTGGCTTCCAGGGGATTTTGAAATATTCAAAAGGAGTGTGGATGGCTACAAGTGTTTTGAGGGCCATCATGTGCATCCTTGGTTTAATAGCTCCTACTTCATGTCCCATATCTTCTAAACTCCATAGACCTATCTTCTAAGCATTCCCACAAACTTCAGAAGTAAGTTACAGGAGATGAGAGTTAGTAGCTTTTGCATAGAGACACTGAGCTGATAGTACCAGTAACTTGTTTGCAGAATGACTTTTTAAAATCTATATTTCCATTTTTTAATCATCCCCTTTATCCTTTGCTTATTTCATCATAATGGCAACAGACATAAAGTATAAATTTGAAAATGTATTTGTAGCTAAGTTATTCTAAAATATTTCCTTAGTTTCTGTATATAAAGTTCCAGCATAGGCATCTGCAAGAGACCAAGATTAGGTTAAAAGGATGCCATGCACATTATGATGCAAATCCCACCCTTATATAGCTCTGCCCTAACAGCTGATGCAAATATTATGAAAGTCATGTATTTTGCATCTTGACACACATTTGATACCTGTAAGTTCAAGCTAATTTGGATCTACAGGCTGCCAATAATTTTTTCTAAGGAAACTTTGCTAACCTTACTACAATGCAGAAGGCAAGGTGCACTCTAACAGCTAGAGCAGGGGTCCCCAACCCCCAGTCCATGGACCAGTACCGGGCCGCGGGATGCCAGCAACCGCTCTGCACAAACAAGCAAAGCCCCATCTGCGGGATGCAGGCAGCACACAAAACCACATCCCCTCTGGTCCGCGGAGAAACCTCTCCCCAGGGAATGGGTCCCTGGTGCCCAAAAGGTTGGGGACCTCTGACTTAGAGTATTAGATGAGCCAAAAAACTTTTCCATATCATTTTTGTTTTTGAACTATCAATAAAAGCTAGCCCCACAGATATCTGGGATATTACATGTAGAAGTCACCATGCAAACAGAGATTGTGGAGCAAAGAAAGAATGTTTGTGGAAAACAAATAAGAGACAAGAAGTAATGTTCAATATCTTTTCAGGCCTTTATTTTTGCTAGTAGGATTATTGAGTTTTATAGCAGCTGATGTTTTCACAGATAAGTGCTTATTCAAGGGGAAAAAGATTTACTCTCAGCCAAGTGTCATTGATCAGCCTGTGTTTCTCCCCACATGAACATCTTACGCCTTCATGCACTTTGACAGAGCTACTATCATTATGGTCTGAACATTCTTCAGCCCCTCAGAAACATCCTCCACATGCCTGTGATAATTCTCACTGTGAGAATTCACTGCTGTGAATTCCAGGCATGCAAACCATTGTTCTCTCTAGATAAACCACGAGGAAGTGCAAAAATGGGCATTCAGCCAGGACCATCCCTCCTGTCTCCATCTTTCTCTTCCCATGTTTCTTTTTATGGCAGGGAAAAAAACTCAAGTTAAAAGCAAAAGAAAAGCTTAGCATTAGCAGCAAATCTGCTTTCCAGCTCTACAAGGATGCAATGGCACTACAATGAAAGAGGGCCATATCAGGGAAGGAACAAGCAGGGGTTGGCTTCAATTCCCACATTGCCTTGCCTTTGCCCCTCAAGTGTACAGTTTGCAAAATGGAGGATATATCTACTTTGGGTCATAAAAATCAGGGAGATAAAACTTCACACTCCCTGAGAAGCAATGCCCAAATTAGGTCTCAGTTCCTTAAGGGAGGAAATTTGGATTGAGATATGACACAAGGCCTTCTGCATGCTTTAAGGAATCTTCAGAATTTCCTGAATTTTCAGATTCTTCAGGAATCTGAATTTATTCCCACCCTACTTTTTAAATGAATTAAACTTAACACAACCTACTGCTGAGTCTCTTGACAATAGACGTGAATGTGGCAAGTATTCATATGGTGCCCACTAAACAACAGAGTTAAATTGAGTTGAAATTTCAACAAAGAAAGATAAAATCAGAACACAACACTAGCTGAGGCCTCTGCTTGTTCTCATAGTAAACAGTGACCTCTAATGATCAGTTGGCAAAAATGTGCGCCTATATTTTCCACTTTTCTAATCCTTTTGTATTATTGAAAAGCGCATATTAACAAATTGTGATGAATGTAAGGGCATTCCTCATTCTCTACTTGTCAACTTCTGGGAAGTGAACATTTCAGAGTTCTCTGTTGCTTTAGAAACAGGGACAAGGCTGGCACGCCTGTAAAGAAAATGCAGTCTTTAAATAATAACAGGTTGTAGCTTGGATCAAGCTGATCCCTTCTTTTCTCTTGGCAGCTCATGCTCCGAAAGGGATGAGTGGTACAGCTGCATCAGCAGAAGCATCCCGGAAGACTATGGGGCTCACAGCGGAGGTGGTTTTCACAACAGTGTTGAAGTAAGAGATTATTCCCCCCCCGGCCGCCCACAATTCTGTGACCTATATTTCCTTTAGGTTTAGGAAAAGAAGTCTTGTTTAGATTATTTTCAAGTTTGCTTTTTTTTTAGCAAGGCTGAAGGCCAAAAGCTATTGCATTACTATGTAAGTTTTCCTTATTCAGCTGACAGAGGTTGCTGCTGGAATGTTACTATTTTAATTCATTTGTTTTATATTTTACTTTTGTTATTATTATTTGTTATTATCTGACTAATAACAAGGCTATCTTTAATTGGGATTCTATTTAATAAGGCTATCTTTAATTGGGATTCTGCTATATAAAAGGCTTCATTTAAAAAAACTCATCAAGTTAAGTTCTTGAGGGAGTGGAAGATACTGGTGCTTTCTGTTCTGAACTGAAAGGGAATTTATTTAGAAAATTATAGAATATTTTGCAGAACAAGCTGGAAATATGAATATGCTGGAAGACAGAAGATTCATCCATATCACTATATTCTAAAAAGATGTTCATATATTGGGTTGCTTCTCACTTCATGTTTTTAGAGGGAGGAACCATTGGACAAAATATGTTTGTTTCATCTAACATACCTACCCTTTTAATAGTACTGGCAGAAAAAAATCCAAAATAGGAGTGTACATATTTGCCCCTAAGGCTCTAGGAATTGCATCTTAATTTATCCCAAAATCTCTATAAAAGGGAGGTGGAAAATATCAGCAAAATAGCTATTCCAGATGGCACTGTCTATATTTTGTGACCAAAACAACCCTTTCATTATTTCTGTGCAGGTATTCATTTAAATAAAAGGGTTCCATTTTTAATGTTTTTTTCCCAGGGCCACAAAACATGTGGCTAGGGACATTATGGTGATATGAAACCAAAAAGAAAATTGATTTGTTTTTGGGAAGATGGGGGAAGCGGGGGAAACAGCTTTAGGTAACTATTTCACACTTTAACTTTTTCCCCAAAAGTTTTTATAAGCACAAATAGTTATCCCTGCCACTCCAAAGGCATTCAGTGGATGCTGGGAATGTTCAGGAGAGTGTAAAGGTTGTGTGTGTGTGTGTGTGTGTGTGTGTGTGTGTGTGTGTGTGTGTGTGTATCTGTCTATCTATCTATCTATCTATCTATCTATCTATCTATCTATCTATCTATCTATCTATCTATCTATCTATCTGTAGGCCACAAACTTGAACTTGCCTATCTTAAAGAAACATCTTATTGTATTTTACAGAAAGTATCTTTCTGATTGTGACATTTCAGTTGAACGTGGAGGCCAGCACTAAAGTCCTTACAAATATCTATTGAAGTGATTCAGATGAGGTGTCCCTTCTACATCATTATAAGGCTAAAAATAAGCCATTGTATTTTATTTTCAGCTTAGGGAAAGGCTGGGAATGTCTTTGGGTGAGAGGCCACCAACTTTGGTACCTGTGTCTCACGTCATGATGTGTATGAGCTGCGGTTGTGACTTTAAACTCACGCTGAGGCGTCATCATTGCCATGCATGCGGGAAGGTAAGTATCTCACTATAATTGGATCCTTGGCAGCAAAGAAACTTCTGGTCAATATCTCTTTATTATAATACATACAATTCCCATCAATTTATTACCAGGAAGGGAAACTCGTTTTTAAAATAGTCTGTAGTAAAAGGTTTGTCTTCTGTAAGCAGCTGCTCTACAAAATACAGTTTGGCCAGTTGGTAATTAGATAGGGGTTTAAATCGTCACAGTTTTAAAAAGCTCTAGATAAAATTCATTGAGTGAACTCTGGAAAGTCTGCCCTCGTTATGTATTAAGAATGCTAGAATTGACCTCAGTTAATGAATTTGGAATATAAATCTCCAAAGAAATTTAAGCAAGGCATTATACTCAAATATATACTATATTCTGCTAAAAGGATTCACTCTAACCTCCTACGGTATTTACCATCCATTACAATTCTGAAATTTCACAAGGTGTTCAGGCTGGATGCATTGCCTTCATCAGTCCTTTCGGTATTCCTATGTCTTTCCAGCGTGTGATGATGACTCTCTAGAAAGACTAAGCCATATGCTACTGCGCTATACTCCAAACAGACCTTCATTTATAAAATGTTGAAGAAATTTCCAGTAGGAAATTGAATTTCTACTTAATGTAACTTATACTGGACAAGGTCTCAAAAATATCTTCCCAAGCTACCCATATTTGTGCTACCATTTGTACAACCATTAAGTTTGGAACTTCTTATAACACTATTTTATTTTGTTTTATTTTACATCTTCTTAATTATTTTTACATCCTGTTATGCTTACTGTTTTTCTGTTTTATAGAGAAGTATTTAGCAATTTTACTATTAAGCATCTTATTGTGTCTGGCTTTGGGGCTGTAATAAACTGATTTAATTTGATTAGAGATTTGATTTAATTTAATTTAATCTAATCACTGGATGTTTTTAAGAAGAGACTGGACAGTCACTTGTCTGAAATGGTATAGGGTCTCCTGCTTGAGCATGGGGTTGGACTAGAAGACCTCCAAGATCCCTTCCAGCTCTATTCTGATTGATTGACTGATAGGATGCCAGTTTGGCATTCAGTGTCTCCTTAAATTAGGGTATATTTTTTCTCCCATTATAGTTACTTTTTGTTTTGTTTTTAGATACCGAGTCTGTTTTTAATTTGTACATCAGCCAGAATCAGTGTTGAGTTGGGCAGCCTTACAGTATAAATTTAAATAATAAATTTTATATAAATAGTGTGATTACTTTAAGAATGTCATATAGAATTGATCCTGTCTTAGTCACTTCATAAAATAAAATTATCATAGTTCTGTCCATCTGTCTATTCTGTGACAGATGTGACTGTTATTTCTCGTTTGGAATTACAGCTCCTTGCTTCATTTTTATGTGCAATGTTTGACATGTTCGGATATCAATCATTCTTCAACACTTGAAAGAGGTCTGTAATGGCTGATCCTTGCTCTAACATTAGTGGTATTATACAATCATCCATTTTAGATTAATGCAAAGCAGTTTCATTATAACGAGCAATAAATGTAACAACTGCATTTTACTGTAATGTTAAAGATATATTAAAATGAATTAAATATTAAGGTGAACAGGTTCTATCCTCTTATCCAGGGAGCTGATCTTAATTGAAGGGCAAATTTCATAGAATAATTAACATTTATGTACATGTATTTGTGCATGTGTGTGTTGCATGACATTAGAACTGAATGATCTTAAGTCACTTCCAACTTTGATTCATACTTTTGTGACTTAACTTAGACAGTGTGTATTGTATCTTGTGTTCATGTAGATTATATGCCGAAATTGTTCAAGAAACAAGTATCCTCTGAAGTACCTCAAAGACCGACTAGCAAAAGTTTGTGATGGCTGCTATACAGAACTGAAAAGCAGAGGTGAATCCTTTTTGCCCATTGGAAACATTGGGGTCTCTGTTGGCACAAAGAGGCAAAGATAACTTTTGCGATTTGTGGGTGCTGCAACCCTGGAGGTTTTTAAGAAGAGATTGGACAACCATTTGTCTCAAATGATATAGGGTCTCCTGCTTGAGAAAGGGGTTGGACTAGAAAACCCCCAAGGTCCCTTCCAATTCTGTTATTCTGTTTCTGTCAGGAGTTTCCCCTCCCTTAGAACAGAAACTAATATTCTTGTTAGTATCCAACGTTTTCAACACGAACCTTGTGGAGCTCATTCATATTTGGGATCTGGTTTGAAGGGTAGTACCTTTTATTCTATGATGGTGGGACACAATTAGATATAGCCCAACTTCCGGAGGATTATATCTATATAACCCATTTGTATTGTTAAATGTGAAGTTAATGAAATCCACACTATTCAGAATTTATCTCAGAAGCAAACTGTATGAAAATAGCTTTGATTAGAGGGAGATTTCTTTTCTTGCAGCTTGGTTTTAACTTGATCAGAACCAATGGATAAAATTTAAGGATCCAAACGTGTCGAGATGACACGTTGCCTGCAATAAGGTGCTTACAGCCCGAAGTCATACTGCATATCAAATAAACCTTTCCCATTTCTACTATTGCAGAGCGGCCGATAAGCATAAGCTTCCCTACAAGTTCATCCAGGTTTTCAGGCAGTGCCTTCTCTTCTGTGTTCCACAATATCCACTACTCTTCCTTCAAAAGACAAAAGAAAATTCCTTCAGCTCTTTTAGAGGTAAGATTAAGATGCCTGCAAAAAAAAAAACACCCCACAATGAAATGAAATTGCAGACAGGACATTATTTGCTATGTGATCATTCATACTAATTATGAATGATCACATAGCCGAGGTGGCGCAGCAGTTAGAGTGCAGTACTGCAGGCCACTTTAGCTGACTGTGTTCAGCAGGTCAGCGGTTCAAATCTCACCGGCTCAAGGTCGACTCAGCCTTCCATCCTTCCGTGGTAGGTAAAATGAGGACCCAGATTGTTGGGGGCAATGTAAATATATATATACATTGCTTACTGGTGTACACCACTTAGAGAGTGCTTGCACTTAAAGCGGTATATAAGTCTCATAAATAAATAAATAAATAAATAAATAAATAAATAACGTGCATTTGGACAGCTTGGTGCACCATTATCTCTTTTTTGGGGGGAAGGTGTGGGGGTAACCCTTCTTCAGTGACCAGCACTGATGATGTTACCTAGTTTTGTAATGAAGTCTGCAAGAAAACAAGCAAGTTCAGAGAGCACCAAAGACCCCTCATGTCAACTCTAAGCTACAAATACTCTCCGTTATTAGGGAATTCTTCTGCAAAGAAAGAATTTTAGATCTAAAATCTAGTCTAGTGAAAAGAAGGACCAGGAGACATGATGCCAGTGTTCCAATATCTAAAGGGCTGCCACAAAAAAGAGGGGATAAACCTATTCTCCAAAGCACCCGGAGGCAAGACAAAAAACAATGGATGGAAACTAATCAAGGAGAGAAACAATCAGGAACTAAGGAGAACAATTAACCAGTGGAACTGCTTGCTTCAGAAGTTGTGGGTGCTCCATCATTGGAGGCTTTTGAGAAGAGACTGGACAGCCTCTTGCCTGGAATGGTATCGGGTCTCCTGCCTGAGCTGCGAGTTGGACTAAAAGATCTCCAAGGTCTCTTTCAACTCTGGTTTTCTGTTGGGTATCTCTCTCTTTCTTCTCAAGGAAAGGGAGAAGGGAGAGATCACCCAAAATCATATTTCCCCTTGAAGATATCACTTAAAATAATAATAAAAGCTTTCTTTACATGTTAAAAGTCAAATTAAAACAAATTCTTATCATTATGTGCAATAATTCATTTAGTCATTTCCTTAATGACTTACTTTGCCATCAGTGTTGTGATCTGTAGCAATCCTTCTCTGACACCACAAGAGGGCACTATGTAGTTATCCAAATAAATGTCAGTCTCAAGGTTTCAAATGCAATGGATTATGCAAAGTGATCAAAATTATAGCATAGGCTGATACTAATCATATTTTTTTTATTCAGAAGTCCCTAGTGTCAAAATAACTGTAAGATATAGGTCCCCCTTTTCACAATGATATACCAATGTTTTCCGTAGAAATATCTATTTATTGTTACAGACACTGTCAAATAATTAGGTCTATACTGCTGGACATGGGGAACCCCCAAGATTTAGTCTTGCTTTAGGTGCAGAAACCAACTGGATGACTCGGACCAGTTTTCTAGGCAATACTTTTCAGAAGTGATTTGCTACTTCATTCTTCCTAGGGTTGAGAGTAATTGGTCTCAAATCACCCAGTTGACTTTGTGCCTAAGACAGAACTAGAATTCATGCTATCCCAGTTTGTAACCTGATGCCTTTACCCACTACACCAAATATGGCTTACATATTCCATTAGGATATATATTCATTATATGTGTTGTTCTGATACAATGATATGCTTCCAAAATCATCATCCTGGTTTGTTTTGTGGAAAAAAAAGTCCCAATTTAAATAAACATAAAACCATAGTAACAAAATAAATACCAAGACTGTTGTTTTGTCATTTTAATAAAATGCCTAATAACCTACACATCTATATGCTCCCAAAAATAAAAGTGTTTGTTTGTTTTATGTCATTGCAACCAGTATGAATGCTTCTCTAGGAAACATATAAATCTTCAATATACAGTGTATGAACGTGAGGAGGATTCCTTATCATTTAGATCTCTTCAATTCCCAAGTATTTAGTGTTACAAGAGTTTTGATTCTCCTTCATTCATTCATGTAGGTGGCAGCTTCAGGAGAAGGCTCTTCTATCAATGGGTATCTCAGCAGATGCAAGAGAGGGAAAAGGCACTGGAAAAAGTTGTGGTTTGTTATCAAAGGAAAAGTGCTCTACACATACACAGCAAATGAAGTAAGTTTTGGTTTGGGGGGGAGGGGAGTGTTTCCAAGCTACTCAGAATTTACAACATACACAGGATTGACATGTATACTTTTAATACCAATGAGGTTGGTTAGTTTTGAAAAAGTCAAACTAGGCAGAGCTGCTTAGTGACTGAAAATCTTAGAATTTAGGCAAGGCAGGAAAGTCACAAAAACATACTGGAATAAATTGTTTCGGTATAATTGCCACGAAAACTACATGAACGTGTCCATCGAAGGAGTCTTTACTCGTTGCAGCAGATTATAGCAGTTACCAGTCTTGGTTGGTCTTGTAAAAAGTAAGTAGAATTGGATCAGTTTAGTTCTTGGTGCGAGTCCACCAAAAATATCCCATGTCTGTGACATTGAGACTGAGAATTCAGAACAAAATTCTGAGCAAAAGCAATGGCAAATCACTTGGGTACCATTCCCAAGAAACCCAAATGTATGTGCTGATGTGGTTGCTAGAAGCTCAGCTATTATATTTTCCAAATCTGGAAAATACTAAAGCCCGCCATTTATTTCTCAAGCATCATCCGATGGAAAATCCCCGTGGTATTATTTGAAACATAACTTTATTTAAATTTTACTAGCAATCATTCAAATCCGGATAAACAAAGGAGAGTTTCTCTATTTTCCGAGAGCGTTCCTCTCTGTGTGTAAATCCTCTCTCTTCCTCTAAAGCCCATTTCCCCTTCTGCACTGATTTCAGGACAAAGTCGCCACTGAGAGTTTGCCTTTGCTGGGTTTCACAATTGTCCCAGAAAAGGAAGATCGAAATATGGATGCAGTTTTCCATCTTTACCACAAGCAAACTCTGTTTTATAGCTTCCGAGCAGAGGATAATAATTCAGCACAGAGGTACTAGGTGTTGATCTGCCTGTGATAACATACTAACCAGTGAAAAACGCCTGCAGTGCTTCTCATTTCTCTTGCAAGCGTTTTCAATGCTACTAAACAGAAATTACTGCTTTTGTGTAAACTTTTGGCAATGCCAGCTTTAACACAAAGTATCAATAAGCTTTAACAACTTGGCTGTGGCAAAATGCTGGGGATGGTTTCAGTTGATCAAATATTAGACAAGGTAGCTTTGTGTGTATAAATGCATTTCTTTTATTTGTGGTCAATGCTCATCACATTTTTGTAATCTTAGAAATACTCTTAATAATGCTCTGCTTGAAAAGATGTGTGAACACCATACAATAATCTGGTAGACATTAACTCATTCATGCACTCTTGGAATTTAATACCTTCAGTGCATACAACTCAATCCAATGGATCTTAATTAGGAAATGAATTCAATAGGTCTTTCCCACATTTGGAATGGAGATAGCCAGACAGGAAAGCTACAGACAGGAATATTTGCTTGTGTTCATATAGGAATGGGCACAGAAATTGTGTAAATAAATGATTTTTTTCTTGGAAAATGCTCAATACTCTCATTTTTCACATTTATGATATAATTTATAATAACTAACTGAATACATTGGATATGCAAAATGCAGAATCCTAAATGGGGGAGAGGTCAATGCAATTTCTTACATGATAAACATATTTTTAAAAGTGTAACATTAAACTTATATATGTATCTCTCCATATACTTACTGCAGCATATAGATCTTTTTTATTATTTTCTATAATTCTAGTTAACCAACAAGAAAGATAGCTGGCTTTCCCACTATAATGCACTAGATGAAAAATAGAGTTCAACAATTCTCAAAATCAACATTTGTTAAAGACATTTTCTACTGGCTTCCTTGAAAATAAAATTTTGATTCTTTTTTTTTTTCAGATGGATTGAAGCTATGGAGGAAGCATCTATATTATAGCATCATCCAAGTGGATTCTGAATTAATGCATTTCTATTTGCAAGATTACCCATATATTGGAAAGAACAATACATATAATCGAAATCTGGCTAAACATATGAAAAAGAAGCCTATAATTTTCCATCCTTAAACCTATCTCCTTGCTGATGGAAACAAAATAAAGGGAATATTTATGGACCCTTTTTATCTTTGCAGGTTCATCACTAAACTGGGCTCTCATCTAACAGTTGCATCATATTTTCAAGAAGTTAAACAACATATGCATTTCTTCTAAAAGAGTTGTTTACTCATAACTCTGTTTTATTTTAAGATAACAATTTGATTTGTGCCAGTCATAAAACTGAGGTTTTTTTACATTAAAATTTTGCTTCCTTTCTTCTTTCTTAAAAAAGGTTTATATTGGCATGCAGTTAAAAATGCTAGAATGAAAGGATATATATAATTTCTACCATAGAAAGTATGGGAAAATCCATTCCAAGCTGGCATTTTAGTGGTTATAGACCACCTATGGTAATTGTATAGTATTTCTCATAAACAGTGCTAACAGCTTAGCTTTGTTCATTAGGACTCTTAATCCGTTCCAAGTTCCAATCCAGTTCTTATGAAAACTGTACCAATTTCTACTCCAAAGGATATTAAAACATTAATTTATTATAAGCCTTTACAGTTTGTTTAAAATTGATTGATCTAAATTATATTATTTTAATAGCTGAGAGGAGCAGATCTTATTTATAAATCTTATTCCTAAAATATAATTCTAAACTCAAAACAGGCATCAGCATTTAACTTCAGAAAGGAAGAACATTTAATTATATTTATTCAGTAAACTAGAAAAGCTCTGGAAAGCCTTGTCTAAATCTTATTTTCAACAATTATAGGATGTCATTCAGTTGGACCAACCAATATTGTTAATGCTGTTATATTATTATCAGCTCAAAAATTATAGTTCAGATTCCATTGTATTTAGCCAGCTGATCAAATGCAAGCATACTATAGTTGTTGCTATAACTACTTCCTCTGATAAAGTACATGGATGGTGTTTGGCAATAGCCATAGCACCTCATGACTGCTTTTATACAACATGTTTTACCAGGTCAGTTAAAGTCTTAACAGCTGCATTTGTACAAAATGCTGAATTATTGTTAGCCTTGATTTGCTTTTGCTTGGCTAAACTAATTCAGATAGTTAGTTTCCAATCCAGTGTATCTCACAAACCAGAACATGAGTTAGTTAATTCATTAACAAGGTTATGATATTCTATGACACAAGACATATTATGTTCCAGGGAGTACAAGTAATCAAGGTCTTTAAAGTTTTGCTGTATTTAAATCTTATATTCATAGCCTAAAGGCCAGGTTTTAAATATAATGGAGTTGTGCAAAGCATTTGAAAATTTGCCTTGCAAAGTATGACAAACGTAAGCAACCCCCCCCCCTCCTTGAAACATTACTGTAAAGCAAAGCAGACATGTCTTCTTGAAAATCTGCAAAGTTATTTCCAAGGCTGTCCTCAGGTGGCAGTACATCCACAAATAACTGTTTCACTGAGACTGCAAACAAAACCAACGGGTGATGTATGCACCACACATGCACAGATAGTCTGAAACACTCATGTGAGCCTTCCAAAGAACGCAACATCTTGAATTCATGGCAGAAGATTAGTTCACTGTATCAATACACCTCCCAAACCATCCCCAAACCACCAAATGCTTAAAGACCAATACTAATGTGATGTATGATCTGTTGCAGAAACATTTTGCTACCAAAAAGTGTTTAGGATAGAGATTTCAGTATTGTGCTGATCAAACAGCATAACCAATATTATTGCAACACTGATACAATTATGCTTGCCATGATGAAGCTTGTGAGATTTTTGTTTCTGATGACGATGATAAGGAGCTTAGAAACACCACTCTCAAAATACAAGATTTAATACCTTTCAATGAAACAGATTTCCATTTATTTTTTTAGTCTTTGAAAATTTCAGATGTACAGTAAAATACACTTGTTAAGTATCTCTAGTATTTATATTCAGGACCATGACCTGAACTGCTAATTAAACTTTGAACTGGAATAGTTTGTTTCCTCTTTGTATAAAGGTTTACATTTTGTTTTTCAAATGAATTGTTCAATTATTTGTTTCAATTCAAGACAGTAATTGGCCCTGGGGGGGGGGGGAATATAAAGTTCTACCATTTCATTATTTCAACATCAGGTTTTTTTTCAGTTCATGATGGCAGTATAGAAATATGAAAATAAAATGTTAAGATTCACTTGGGTGAGAGGTTATGAATTTGACCTTGTTACCTTACAGTACTTATAATATGGAAGACTGCAATAATAAATAAAAATGCACTGACAAAAGCAATTTTTAAATACCAAATGTAACCCACTCAGTAACGAAAGCTGCAATCTATTGTACTCAGTGTTTTCAGACAGCACTGTAAGCAAGACTGAAAACCAAATATACAGTACAGAACAATTCTTATGACTTTTTGGTGCTGGCATTAACTGTTGTATTAAGTCTACAGAAAAAAACTACTACTCAAATTGTTGTAAAAATGTATTAATTTTTGTTTTAAGAAACATGAAAAATAAAATAACAGACCAAGTCCATAGAAGTTTGTTAATATTTTTCTATTCTATATCAATGGCTCACAGGTTATGTTCACAGTATGCAGAAGTGACTGATGAGTTATTTTCCAGAAAAACACTTCAATGTGGTTTTTCAAAGTAGATGGGGAATCATGTTTAGACAACCAACAGCCTTTCCTGCTTCTGAGGTTATTCCCACAGCCTGTTAATAGGAAGAGGCTAAGCTTAATCAGGCAGGAAACTACAGCTGTTCTCAAACTGGCTTAATTTAACTCCCAAGCCTGGGACACAAACAATCTCTCTGTTCTTACACACACACACACCCAACACACAACTCAGCCTAGTGATCTCCCAGAATTCAACAATCTTTTGATACAAGATTCAAAACCAGTCAGAGACACAGATTGCTGGCCAAGATGCAGACTCAAGACTCAAGTCAGGAGTCAGCAACTGTTTTAGAGATATCAGACCTTTACAGCACCTTGTGTAATGATGTGGGCATCCCCTTCCATCCGCTCAACAAATAACTGACCTCCGTTTGAAGATCTCCAGCAAAGAACCCATTGCTTTACATAGTGCCATGTTGTACTGGCCGCTCAACCATTCAACCATTTTCTCAACACCTTCCCTGAAAGGAGAGGTTAGATATTGGATGAAAATTGTCTAGTATAGTGAGGTCAGTGATGACTTCTTGATCAGGGAGCAAACCAAAGCCTCCTTAAGATGCAAAGGAATCTTACTTGCTCAAAAGAAAAATTGACCACTACCAGAACCTACTCACACAACAGCCTCCCCTCCAAACTGGGCTGCTTCAAGTCAGGAGTGGCACAGATCTAAAGGGCAGGTAAACATTTTATGATATTACAAATTGCTTTTCTAGTTGTGTAACTCATTATGGAGCACATTCTAACAAGTCCCTTGGTAATTTTAAACTTTGTATTGATTCCTCTTATCAAAATGAATAAATGTGCTGTGTCAGTGTTTTCATCAACAGCTAATAAATGAGAAATTTCTTTAATTTCTCAGCTAACTGATCAGTAAGTCTGGAAAAAAATGTCAGCTTTCTTTTTTTTTTAACAGTCATTTGGGATTAGCTATTATCAACAATTTCTTTATTTTCTGGGCATAACCTAGACACAGCAATCTGTATACGTGTCTTGAAAAGTTGCCTTCTGTAAAACATTTTCTGAAAATTTTCCTTGCAACTTTAAAGGTCACTTAAGTAAAATAGCAATTTTAATGTTTCCCCCCCCCATTAGTCTTTTTGCCTCTAAATATATAAACACAAGACATACAATTTTCTTCAGTTGAGAAATATTGATTTGTTCATTCTGCACTAAAAACTTTATGTTCCTATTCAATTTTCCTCACAAAACCTATGGCTATGTGATTTTAAAAAACACTCAAAATCATTAATTTATTTAAGAAAAAGAGTATCTACCTTTATTAAACCCATGGATGTAGAACCAGTAACATAAAAAATGTATGTAAAAGTTAACATGCAGAAAAAATAACCATGCATTAAGGTAAAAAATATATATAATCGACAATGAATTGATCATATCTCCAATTTTCTGCTAAGAAAAAGCACATGTATTAATTAGTTAAATAATGTCTTGGACCATAATCAGAACAGCACGCTTCTATTTCATTTACTTTGAGCATGCTCTATTCAAAATCAAATTGTGCCTAAATGCCTTGGGGCATTTAATTCATTAAATAATTCAACAGTAAGAATAGTTGATCAACTCAGGACTGGCATTCTACACTAGCAGCCTCAGACAGCAGAGACAACACCAGTGCCTCCTATGGCTCCAATAATTCCAATTCCACGAGGAGTTAAAATTCTTTCCATCACTAGTTAAAATTCCATCTATTCTTGTAATTCATTTTCTATCACTGCTCCAGAAAGAGTAAGCTACTTAAGCTCTTTTGAAAGTTTAGTGCAGGGTAGGCAACCTTGGCTTTTATGACTCATGGACTTTAACTCCCATCTCCCTTTTCCCTCAGCATGGCTGGCTCAGGAATTCTGGGAGTTGAAGTCCATGCGTCATAAAAGAGCCAAGGTTGCCTACCTCTGGTTTAATGCAATAGCTCAGAGTGAAATAGTTACTTGTGAACAGTAACAGAACAGAATGTAGTCATAATTTCATCTAAATCTATGTTCTTCACTGAAAGTAAGAAAATGGCATAATTCTTTCTCAACAGGAGAGGATGCAGATCCTGCCCCGCCCGTTTCTTCAGGGGAAGGATTTGAGCATAGGGAGGAGGGAAATAGCAAATTGGCCAGTAAGTAGGAGACGCCTACTCTTGGCTGTGCCTCTTACCTCAATCAATCTTTATTACGGTCACAGAGCAGCAAATAAAAGCATTAAATAATAATAATAATACTAAGAAACAAAAATAAGACACACAGAATAATATATTGCAATTGTGGATTAACAGTGGGCAGCAAATAAAAGCATTAAAACAATAGTAAAAAAATAAAGACAGAATAATACATTGCAATTGGTGGTGGATTAACAGAGGGCAGTTAAAATTTGCCTAATTTTACATACAGCATAGCAGAATTTGGCCATAGTACCTCACACTGATCTGATAACAGTAGCTGAACATAACAATATTTCCTGGATATTTTATTAGGCAAGGTGTTATAAACTGAGTCCGTGAGTCCGTATAGATTAGATGCAGTACAGAAGAACGAGAGCTAATTTCAGAGGCACAATGTCAGCTCATATATTTTTTTGTATCACCCTCTCCCCCCAAAAGTGCGTCGCAGCACGGATGCCCCTTACTTCAAGGGCACAAGATTGGACTCAGATTGCCTCCTTTTAAAAACTTAATAGGCTGCAAGCGGAGTGCAAATCGTCGCCCTTAGTGGAAATAACAATACACCACCCATGTAGAAATTAAAAGAGCGAGCTCCGGTTACCCGGATAGCACCGCTTGCTTTTTCTCATGGTGCAAAGCATGTAAAATCAAGAGGCAAAGGGATCAAAGGCGTGACGCCGCTGATTCTCGCCCCCCACCTCTCAATTTAGACTTTCTCACTTCAATTAAAGCGAACGTGACTCCTTCGCACAGAACTGATTCTTTCTATAAGGCTGCTTCCCCCCCCCCGATACGCGTAGATCTTCTCCTAGCCCTGCTACTTTCCTATCTCGAACTATCGTGCGCGCTGGCCACCCCCGAGACGAACCGCTCCACCTTCTTCGGGGACTGTGGAAGCTGACAGAACTACCGCCGCAGAAGAGCTCGAAACCGTCTCAGGTAACCCCTCCTCTGCCCTGGTCCAGCCCCGCCTTATTAAGCGGAGGGGGGGGGGAGAGAGAGATGGAGTGGGCCGCGACAGGAATAATGCTGGGAAGAGGAAGCAGGCAAACGCTCCCAGGCGGCAACAGCGGAGAGAATAGTGCCTGGAGGGGTCACGAACTGTGACCTTTCGCCAAAAGGCACCAGCTTTCTCCCTCCCCCCCCACCGACCAACACTCTTCCTGCCCCCCCCCCCGGTCTACGCGCAAGGCTCACTAACCCCTTCGGTGCCGCTATCTCCGCCTTCCGCTCCCCCTCCTTGGCGGAAGGCGGTGGCGGCGGGGGGGGGCTTCATGAACCAGGCCCAGCGAGCCGTTACGAGGAAGCCACAACCAAGCTAGCTTCGCCCCAAATCCTGAGGTAAAAGACCGCCTTCACCCTCCCTTATTATGCTTGCAGGCGTTGAGGTTTTCTTTCCGGCCCGGCAGCTGAGGCGAGCGGGTAGCAGTGCCGCATGGCGGAGCGTTTGATGGGCCGCGTATGTCCGGGGATAAAAAAAAGAACCTGGCCGGGCATCTTTGGGCGCAGCTCTTTCTTTGCCGTGGGCTGCGCGCTACGAGCCGGTCTAACCGCGAGCGAAGAAGGAAGATGGAGTCTGAGCGGGCGGAGGCAGTGGCTTGAACCCGACCCTTTTACCTTTGCCACCGGGAGGGCGGAGGGGAGGGGGCGGCGGGTATTTTGCATACAGGGCAGCCCGTCGCCATCTTTGCGGCGTTTCCCCCCCCCTCCGGTCGCTTAGAGCAGCCGCCTGCATGTTTGAGGCGCCCGCTGCCGAGTGTGAGGAAAGAAGGTGTCGGGGTGAAGAAACATCAAGGCGGGGTGGGGGACAAATGGCGGAGCTTCTGCAATTGGCCTTCTGCCAGCACCGCCATTTTGTTTGCTCGCTTAACACATGGGAAGCCTTTCGCCTCCCAATTTGCCTTCCCCCGCGTTGGGGGAGGGGCGGGGCCGAACTCTGAGCGACGGTGGTGTTCGCCAATAGGGCTCTCTGCATTGGGAGGTTGGGGCCGAACTTAGAGCGGTGGAATCACCAATAAGCACCGAGGCAGCTGGTTTCCGTCAATGAAAATAAATTGGTTGAAAGGAAAAAATGGGAAAGGGGAGGAGTTTGTGTTTCGAAGGCGATCAACTATGAATTCACAGTTTTTAAATCCATTTTTAGTATAGATATTAATGTTTCCCATATTATCTTTTTTCGTGGAAGTGCGTTCTCTGAAATTCAAGATAATGAAATTGAACACAAAATATAGACAGCTCGTGCTATATCGTTAGTCAAGGAGACAGATAACTTTGTTATTTATATGTTTCACCAGAAAATGGATATGGTGAACAAGATACAAAACTGCACTCAGTTGAGTAGTAGTAGCATAGGATTTAAGGTATTGGACTACCACGAGAGACCCAGATTCAAATTTAATCTCAGCCATGGAAGTTGGTGCTTTGGACCAGCAAGTCTCTTTCATGTTAACATAAAAGTGATGGTGGGGGGGGGACTCCTGAAAAGATGGAAGTGCTATGTGTGTTTCCTTAAACTCCGATCGCAAAGTATAATAAATAAATGGCACTTTTTACCATTATATATCCTAAAAACTAAGCCTAGTGAATAATGGGATGAGAAAAATCACCAGAAATTCCCCAGGCTGCGAACTTAATTAGGAGATTGAAAAAACATCCCTGAGAAAGGCAGTGGCAAACTACTTTCATTGGTTGCCAAAAAAAAAAAAAAAAAAAAAAAAAATGGGTGTATCTTTGAAGTCACCACAACTTGAGCTGATTAAGGAGATCTTGTTTTATTGCAGTATTAGGCACAATGCTCTTATCAAAATAACATATATATGAAAATAAATGCTAATTTATATTACTTGTTTCTCATCTATTAATGTATTATTGGTTATTTTGTGCTAGTGTAATTATAATTATATTTTAAGCATGTAATTGAATAAAATATCAAATCCATGTACTCAAGTGCTCATTTGAAATCATTCCTTCATTTTCTTACCATTACTGAATCTAATTTTTCATATTTGAAAATAATACCGAGGGTTATTTTTCTTAGAATAAGCAGCCATGAGTAAGGAATTTGAAATATAAAATGCAAGCTATTAACATTATTACAATCTCCTTTTCTGTTAGTTCCAGTGGAAATGTTATCTACACATGCAAATGTATACAAATGAGATGGTCTTTAAAGCAGCAATGCAAGGTTTCCAGTGCTTTGAGCAAACTAATACACCTTGCGGGAAATCTCTTTCACATACTTTTCAAGTTTTAAGGATTATAATCAGTTTCCTCTAGGAACAATTTGTTTTCAGTTTCTTTGCACAACTAGTTGGACCAAGTAGTTCATACTGTCCGTATTTGAACACATATGTTGACATATTGTTTAGCCATGCTTTATTCCATTAATCCAAATCATTTCTTTCTTGGTAGGCAATTCCATTCAGTCTTAATGGTTGGGGGAAGAGAGGTTGTTCCTATTTAATGTCTGTATAGAATTACTGGTTGAGGTTACTTGCTAATTCAGGGTCTGGTACTGTGTTTTCCCGAAAATAAGATCCAACCAGAAAATAAGCCCTGACCTAGCATGATTTTTCAGGATGCTTGTAATATAAGCCCTACCCCCAAAATAAGCACCAGTTAAGATCGTCGGCCAGATGTCCATTGATCAGGCGGGGGGAGCAGGGAGTCCCGGCTACCTCTTGGAGATGGGGGCTCCCTACCTTTCCATTCGCTGGGGCCATTGTGAGTGAAGCGGTGGGTGGGAGGCTCATCCCGTGTGTGCGGTGGAACTGGAGGATGAGGTTGGACAGCGAGGGCCAACTGTACGGGCTGCGGCAAGGCACCAGTTGCAGCTGAAGGTGAACAAAGACGATGGGCCGGAAGCTGCTCAGCACATCTGATGGACCAGATTGCATGCATCTCATGCCTCTACCTCTGCCTGCTGCTTAGAGGGCCAGCCTGGCAATTGCAGCACTCGGACTCACCTGTGCTGCGGGGGCTTCACAATCTCAGAGTGCCAGCCAAGGAGCCAGTGAGCTATGGCTGCTGCCAGACACCATTGGCCCCTAAATGCTTGCCGCCTCCAGTTCGCGTGCAGGGGGCGGGTGTTCCCAGCTGCAGGTCTTGTGTGCTTGATTTAAATCAACTCAATTTAAATCATAATTTTTAAAGAGCATCTGTCATCTCTGTCCCACAGCAGCTCCTCCTCTAACCTGCTGTTGACTCATCAACAGTCCCATTCACTTTAATGGGATGACTGGTGATGCGGCAGTGACACAACAAGGTGAGGGACGTGGCGGGCAGCAGTTGAGTGGATGCCCGCTAACAGGTGTTGCCATGATGGATCTGAAATGATAGGTGCTCTTTAAATGTAAGGACTCATTCTTTCTGGTAGTTAGAATCTTTAATATTATTATTTGCAAACAAAATGAAAGTTTCCTATTTAGAATAATAAGCTGTCGGGTTAGTAAAACAGCAGTATTGGAACCAATTTTTATGCTACATAACTAAGCTTCATTAGTTATTAATGTATCTTAAATAGAAAACTATATTTAGATAGATTTTTACTCCAAAAGCATTTAATTAAAATAAATTTGATAAAAATAAAAAAAAATCCGACTTAAATAAAAAATCCAATGTTTTTGATTTTTTTTTAAAAAGTCATTGATTATTGTCCACCCTGGTTTCACAAGTGTTGTACTAGTAGATGAAAAAATAAGACATCACCTGAAAATAAGCCTTGATGCATCTTTTGAAGCAAAAATTAATATAAGACCCAGTCTTATTTTTGGCGAAACATAGTATCAATACGCTTATGATGCTCAATTATGTCTTTCAGTCCTGAGCCAACCAACTGATAACTTTTGAGGTCTTGGATGGATGAGGAGAAACTGACTTCATTTCATCTTACCAAGACCATGTGGCTATGAATATTAAGGATCCCAGAGCCAGGGATTTTCCATCTTTAGTCCTAGATGGGGTTGCACTTCCCCATTTTGAAGTGATGTGTATTCAAAGGTGTTCTTTGAGCTCCTGCTCAAAGAGGCCATTCAAACAGCCACTTATATGTGGTCACCTATGAGCTTACATATTGCAATGCATTTGTGCTTAATAGGAAGCTTCCTTCAAAGCCCCAGAAGTTTTAACAGATCCAGAACGCACTGGTGTGAGCACTGATGGGCATGCCTTAGTCTGACTATGATATACCCCTGCATTAGTTGCCAGCCTGCTCACCGGTACAATTCAAGGTACTAGTTGTCAGTTATAAAGCCCTACATGGCATAGGACCAGGTTACTTGATACGTTACTGCCTATTTTCCATGGTATTTACCTGGTCAGTACAAGTTAACAAAATTGGCATGCTCCCTTCAATTAAATAATGCTGTTTATCTGGACCTGAGAGATGCATTTTCTCTACTGTGGCACCTACTTTCCAGAACAGGAACCATCTGGTTTCTGCCCTGATGGCATTCTGGAAGACCATGAAGACCTGCATGTTTTCCCAGATCTTGGCTTAGAGTAGAAGTGCCTCCTTTGTTGTATAATTCATTGTATATGTCATACTTTGAGTGGCTGGATGCCATTTTGTTTATCTGTGTTGTATTTTTATTTTGATCTGATATTTTGAACTGCCCAGAGTTGTTTGGAGTCAGTCAACATCTGATACTATTAAATAATTAAATGACAAAAAAATACCATTATTCACAAGATAATGCTATTAGAATTAATGATAATTAATACTGATTATCCAAAACCACAGATAGTGGTTAATAGATAGTTGAAGAATATTATTAGTTAATTGAAAGACTTTGGAATAGACTTGGAATGCTTATATTAACAAATCAAAAGTTAAATATATTACATATATTTCTTTGATTTTTAAGGTACAATTATTTTTAATTGTGGAATCTCAGACAATCTTTTAAAAAGATTGGCTATTTACATTTTGAAGCTAGATGTACTATATAGAATAATGAAAAGAGTCACTATGTGAGATAAGCAGCCATATAAATTTAACAAATAAGCCTTCTCTCACTATTGTCTCATTTTGCTTTAATATCCATAAAGCAGTTATCATGATTTTGGAAAAAGTGCAACTTAAACATATGAATAGATTTTTGAGTTAATACTAAAAATTTGGGATTTGTTAAAATACAGTTATACAAAGCATGGGATAAAGCAAAAAAAGAAAAAAAACTATTCTTTTGGAATAGAACAGTGGTTCTCAACCTTTTTAATGCCACGACCCCCAACCGGTCGTAAATCAAGGACTGCCCAACTGGTCGTAAATTGAGGACTACCCAACCGGTCGTAAGTTGAGGACTTTCCCTCCCTGGGACCGCCGCATATGTGTGGTGCCACCCCCTGTGCCAGCCGAGGCATAGCTGGCAAGTGGCAGAGATGGAGCAGGCCGACCATCGGCTGGGCCACCAGCTGGCCCAGCCCAAGAGAGGTAAGGCACCCGCCGGGTCCCACACACGCCAGCAACCCTCCCTGCGCCCGCCGGCCTCCCACCCCTGGCCCTCTTTTACTTACATTTTTAGTAGTTGCTCAGCAGGGAGGGGTGGAAACTTCCAGACAGCTTGCCTTCGCTGCAGACAACCTGCAGCACCGTTTGCAGAATGGGACTTTTGGTGGGCTCAGCAGGGCAGAGACAGCCTGGACAATTCCTATTGGCTTTTGAAAGCCAATAGAATTAGACTCTATTCAAGAGAGTCTATTGTATTGGCTTTCAAAAGCCAATAGAATAAAAGGGGGTAGCACAGCTAAGGAAAGGGGGAAAAAATGGCGGACTGCGTTGTTTGGCGACCCCTGTGAAATGGTTGTTCGACCTCAAATGGGGTCCCAACCCACAGGTTGAGAATCGCTGGAATAGAAAGGTGGATCTGAATATAGAGTTTTGGAATGGATATATGTGTTTGGTCTGTATTTGTAAACTTGCTCTTTATTGGTGTAATGGAAAGACTGATTAGTATAATATATGGTAAATGTTTAATGTATTTTTAATAATAAATGTGCTGTTACTGCAAGTGAACTGCAAAGTTTTTGATGGCTAGAGTTCTCCAATTCTACTTAGAGTTTGATATTGAGGTCAGCTATGATTTAACTAGCACAGGGGTAGGAAAACAAGAATTCTGGGAATTGAAGTCCACAAGTCACAAAAAAGCCAAGGTTACCTACCCCTGAAGTAGCGCATAGATTTCTTTAAAGTAAGTCAAAAGGTAAGGGCTGTCGCTTCTTTATTTGCTAGTTCTGTCAGTTGGCAAAGAAAAAAATGGTTCCATGATTAAAGATGACTAGTGTCTCCCTGAAGAGAGGTTTCTTTCTTCCTCTACTGCCACTCTTATCTGTTTTATACTATAAAGTTTATAATATAAAGTGAAATATAGTTAATTCATCTACTTGAAATTTAATAAATATTTTAGTTAATGTAAGTTTATATATATATATCATTACCATGTCAGAGCATCTGAGAAATAATAAATTCATGTACCCTTTCAGGTTCATATCTTTACACAATTATTGGTCCTATCAGAAGCTAACTGATGCAATTTTCTGTTGGTGTCTGGCAAAAAAAAAAATAAGGGTCCAGTCATAGCATTTCAAAATTAAACAGAGTTTTTTTGCCTGGCTAAACAGGCAAAAGAAATTTGCAAAAGCAGATGTTGGCCATGTTTTGCTGAATGCTAACTAGCATCATTTTACGTTCCTGGTAAACTGAAACTAAAGCACAAACTGGATAATGGGATTACATGATTAAGTAAGTCTTCCTTGACTATTTTCTCAGCTGATTGTGTGTGTGTATGTGTAATGTTTGTACTTGATTTTATTTTATTTATATCCCATCTTTATTATTTATACAAATAACACAAGGCAACAAACATCATACATAACCTTCTTCCTCCTATTTTCGCCACAACAGTCCTGTGAAGTGAGTTGGGTTGAAAGAGTGTGACCTGGCCCAAGGTTACAGAGTTGGCTTTCATGGCTGAGGCAGGACTAGAGCTTATGAACTCCCAGTTTCTAGCCTAGTGCCTTAATACCCAAAGTCATTTGTTTGAGATGGGTGGCTATAGAAATTAACTGAATGAACGAATGAATATAATAATAATATAAAATAAATAAATAAGCTACAATCTATAACTATGATCTATTGCAAATTACATTTTCTTGGAAACTGTTCAGACAAGTCCCTACAGTTTTCTTGGTGAGGTTTTGCAGAGGTGGTTTGTCATTCTCTCCTTCCTGGGGCTGAAAGTGACTGGTTCAAAGTCACCCAGCTGGCTTCATGCCCAAGGCAGGGCTAGTACTCATAGCTTGATATTTTAACCACTACACTAAACTGGCTCTCACAGAAGCCTAATCCTACATAAATCCAATCTTGTTTTACTGTGTAAATTGATAGCTACATCTATATCTGACAGTATTAAATTCTGCAGTTTAAAAATAAAGAAAAATTACTTTTATTGGTCCTAAGTCTCTCTTCATATTGTTTTACTTAATGACTCCATATCCTAATATAGTGAAAATGGAAGGCATACTATTCTCTGTTTATAGTCTCTAGTGTTTCATCTCACAGGCACTTTCGACATTTGGGGGAAGTAAAGAGGCTAAAGCAGGTGGACAATTATGGCCCATTTACCTCTGGACTTCAACATCCAGAATTCCTGAGCCAGCCACGCTCTGAGAGTTGAAGTCCACAAGTCATAAAGATGCCATAAAGGGGCCATCTTTTTTATTGTAATTTGCAAAATACAGGTAGTCCTTGACTTAAAACCAGACATTTTACAATCTTTCAAAGTTGCGACAACAGCCATGTAAAGCATCCTATATGTCATAAATGATTGTGCTCGTCCATAGTCATCTGATCACATGTCAGGCAGGTCAACTTTATGACCAGTCACAGCATTATATAATCATAATTTGTGAAACTGGCATTTTGCCAGTTTCCTGCAAAAAAAAGTACCCAATTGAATGGGTTCACTTAATGATCACTACAAAAAAAGCTGGAAAATTAATCACAGTCACATGGGTGCCTCAACTTATGACCACAGACTTACAAATGGATTTCCAGTCACAATTATGGCCGTAAGATAATAACAACACATTTATTTGAGGAATGCCAGCAGAGTAAAAGTTTCTAGAATAGTGTGCATTGGCAGAAAGGTGAGTGGATACTATAGGGGTAATTAAATTCTTCATCTTTGGGATGAGCAGAAGTTTGAACCCCAATGAACATTAATGCTACACAAACCTTAGTGTACTGTGCAACTATAATAAATAAGTCCTAAACTTGATTTTTTTCTGATGGCAACATGGCGACTACAATTATAAAGCCCCATTTCCTGTTAATTTAATAAAGTATACTTTTTATAAAAAAATCGCAAGTGTAGCATATTATACATGTTCCAATAAAAATGTTTAGAATCATTTTAAAATATGTGCAGCCATAAATCATTACATAATATTTAAAATATCTTTCTGTTTAGTTAGAATTATGCATAAATGTAATTATTTTCAATAATAAAAATGATAAAATTTCTAATTTTACTGTGCCTGATAGAAGTTACTGGCATCCCTCCAAACAGGTTCTCTAATGATCTTTCACCATGGCAACCAATATGGAGGTGCTGGCTCAACAAATAGTGGAGACACAGCAGGTGGCTGAGGTGAGTGATGGATAATATTACAGTATTCTCGGTTCATTTTTATAAAGAAACTACTGTTTCCAATCAATTGCTTCTAAAGTAGCAATTATTCATATTACAATGATTATTATTTCATAAAATATAAAGGCATCCCTTTTGTATTAATAGACATTATTTATATGGACAAAATGTCCATCAAGAAATTTGGAAAAAATGTCTGTCCCAATCAATGCAGCTTGATAGAAAGGTAAAAGACAGGTCACATTTGAATTTTCAGCCATATTCCATGCCTTTCATTTTCCTTGTAGAAATCTTAGCTAAAAACTTACATGAACTCTTTTAGACATGAGCAATAAGCCTTCAAAATCTTTCTAAATCAAAATATTATTTGCTTTTTGTCCTTGAGTCAGAATAATACAAGTTGTTCTCTGCTGTCAGTTGCAAATTACAAGATTATAGTTGACTCATTCCCAGATCATAAAAACTGTTAAGCTCATGAATCAAATTAATAAAGATCTCTACCTCATATAGTGTGTTTCCTCATACTTCTGGCAGAAGAGTTGCCCATGTTTTCTCCTAACAAAAACAATAAAATTGGCAACTTATAATTGTATCTCTTAATTTTGTTTGAACTTTACAATAATTCTTACCTGGCTTTAAAAAACACTACATGAAACTAAGATAATAATTGCAAATAGTCTTTGTGTTATCTGTAGTTTTGAATATTATTTGTGGTGTTATATTAAATACGTTTTACAGAAAGATTATAGAGATCATAAAGGAAACATATAAGCATGTTGGTATGCTAATCATAAAGAATTTGAATAAAACTTGCCAGTTTAATTTTAGGGTTTTTTTATTAAGTAATTTTATTATTAAATTGTGGAATGTTAACTATATCATAATTTTAACGACACATTGACAACGTGCTTTTAAAGATACCCTTATTTTTAAATATATTCTAATTTTAAATATATTCTAATTCTAATGACAAAAAGAGTCATTTTGGTTTAGTGGTTCAGGTGCTGGTGTAGAAACCAGGAGCATGTGAGTTCTAGTTCTGTGTTAGGCATGAAAGCCAGCTGGGTGACCTTAGGCCAGTCATTTTCTCTCAGCCCAACTCACCTCACAGAGTTGTTATGAGGAAAATAGGAGGAGGAAGGAGTGTTAGGTATGTTTACCAACTTGAGATTTATAAAAAAATAATAAAGGTGAGATAAAATATTTTAAAAAGTGACCCATTAACTTCCAAATAATATCCAGTTATGTAAGGTCTAGATCAGGGCTTTTCAACCGTGGTATGCGTACCACTAGTGGTACGTGACCACCTGGCTGGTGGTACGCGGTGTCACCTTCCTCCCCCCCCCTCCTTCCCAGCTCGCTTGTTGAAATTGAAAACATGCTGCTTGGCGACGGCCTGCAGGAACCCTACTGAGGGCGCGTGAAGAGCACAGGCGCAGAGCGAGGCCCCGCCCTCCCCAGGGACTTGTGTAGGATCCGTGTCGCCCTTCTCCCCCTTCTTCAGAAGCAAGCACGAGCCTGAAGGGGACAGAAGCATCCACTCACAGGTAGGTGTTTGAGACCGCTCACGTCGCGGCCCTGAGTGCCAACCTCACAACCGTCCCTTCCTTCTTTTCCCCTTTCTCTCTCTCTCTCTCTCTCTCTGTTGTGGCCTCACTCTCTTCCATTTTCTTTTCCTCTCTCCCCTCCCGCAAGCTTGCGATACCCCTCATGGCCCTCACATTGCTTCCTGGGGCTTGAGTCTTTTCCCCCTCTCCTCTTCCCGAGGTGCCCAGCTTTACAGAGGGGAAAGCAAAGCGGCCAGACTGCACACCCTCCCGGAGGACTCATCCCACGGCAGCAGGTGGGAATCCAGGCCCACATTTGTTTTGCTGATGCTGATCAGAATGGTGACTCGGGTGCCAGCTGTGGGCAGGAGGGCTGCTACCTTGCTCCGGGCTCGCTGAGCTCAGCTCTTCGCTCCCCACTCCTAATACCGATCAAAGTGGCCACAATGGTGCCACACAGCCAGTAGCCACCTCTCAAGTGCCACCCCCGCCCGCCACTCATTGGCCACTACGCGCTGCCTGTCGGGTGCAGCACGGTGTCATCGGATCGCGGCAGCGGCTCGAGGCAATCACTAGTGCCTTGTTGGCTCAGGCCGCCCGCCTGTAATAGGCATCTGATGGTGACTCGGGGGACAGCCGTGGGCGGGGATGGCTGCTCCCTTACTCCGGGCTCGCTGAGCTCCGATACCGATCGAACATTCCAATGCCCACACGCTGGGAAACCGATCCGGGTACCGCAGCAGAAGTCGCAAGCTGTGGGGGATCCCTGCTGCCGGCGGTGGAGCCGGCTACAACGGAGCACTAGCCAGCTGCTTCAACCAGGCACTGGCAGCCTCCATGGGATACCCCGCCCATCAGTGACTTTGCCACGCCGCGTTCTGTGATGCCAGGGAATCCCGCCCCACTGGAGCTGGCCACAATGGAGTGCTGGCCAGCTGCTAAACCAGGCGCCGCTGGGCCTTCCTAGGGTGCACTGGAGTCCCACACACCGCCCAGTAGGCTGCCGTCAGCTATTCTTCCTGCATGGCGTTTCCAGCGGCCGACTGCGTGGCCCCCTCCCTCATAGGAATGTCGAGCCCATGGGGCTTGACAGCCACAATGGTGCCGCACATGCAGTAGACACGTCTCAAGTACCATCCCCGCCTAGCACTCATTGGCCATTACTTGCTGCCTGTCAGGCGCAGCATGGCCTCATCAGGCCTCGGCGGCAGCTTGAGACAATCACCGCCGCCTCGGCTCAGGCTGCCCACCCATCAGAATCTATGTCCCGTGATTGGTTGGCTCCCTCATTGTGTTCCTCCCCCACAGAAAGGGCATGGTTCTTCATGCAGGCTCCTGATTAGCCCTGCGCCCTGGTACCCCACCCCCTGAGAAGTGCGGCCAGGAAGTCCCTTTCCTGGGGAGCCGTGCAATCCCGGCGCTACTGTAGGCCCCGCTGGCCCGGAAGGCGCACTGGAGTACAGCTGATGGAAAGGGGATCAGCTCGCTCCTCTCCCATCGCCCGCTCTGCCCGGCTTGAGCCTGACTGGAGCAGCATTGGTACTTCCAAAGGTGACTGCTTCAAGGTCACAGGGGCAGTCCTCAGCCACTCCCCTCCCCTCCGCACCTCCAAATCGATCCTTGATTGGAGGAGGGAGGGAGGGAGGGAGAGGGGGAGAGAAAGAGAGAGGGAGAGAAAGATAGGGAGGGAGAAAGAGAGAGGAAGAAAGAAAAAGGGGAGGGAAAGGGAGGGAGAAAGAAAGAGGGAGGGAGAGAGAAAGAAAGGAGAGAGAGATTAAATTAGTAACATGGTTCTTAAGTGAATCTGGTTTCCCCACTAACTTTGCTAGTCAGAAGGTTGCAAAAGGCAATCACATGACCCTGGAAAAATGACCATCATAAATATGAATCGGTTGCCAAGCATCCAAATGTAAATCACATGACCCTGGGGATGCTGCAACGGTCATAAATGTGAAAAATGGTCATAAGTCACTTTTTCAGTGCCGTTGTAACTTTGAACAGTCACTAAGCAAACTGTTGTAAGTCAAGGACTACCTGTACTTTATCACTTTTTTCCATTTTTTTTTTTTGGTCATCAAGTTTTTGACACCTTACTAGGTGACTCGTGGTATTCGAATGTTGCCATATTTTAAAAGTGGTACAATTGACGAAAAGGTTGAAAAACCCTGGTCTAGATAGCAAGACAATTAAATGAATTGAAAATACTACATAGTGCTTATTAGTGATTTCCTAACAAGCTGAAGTAATGGATGGGGTACTGCACTGTTCTTGATCCTATTTGTTGTTGTTAATGAGTTGGGTGAATAAATAAAGAGAATGCTCATTAACCCTGCAAAAATGCAAAACTGAAGAGAACAATAATGCTATACAAGAGGAATATAATTTTAAATGGTCTTTATGTGTCAGAAAAATGGGCTGAGAAAGAACCAATTAAATTGAATAGAAATCCAAAATTCATTGTAAGGAAAAGAAATCAATTGCATGATTTGTTATAAAAATAATCTAGGAATAATAGTTGGTTGCAACATGGATATGAGCAGAAGGATATGACTGCAGAAATGGCAGATACAATTTTACTCTGCATCAATAGAAACATAGGTTCCAAATTATGAGAAGTAATAGTTCTGCTATATTATATATTGTTCAGACCTCAAGTATTGTTGCCCTGTTTCATGGAAGCAGGATTCATAGGTACAACTGTTGAAAGGCAGCCCAGAGTATTACAAGAGATATACTAAGAACTGAAAATGTTCAAAAGAGAAGACTGAGGGGGATGTGGCACAATTCAAGAACATGAAAGGATGCCTTATAGTAGACATGTCAAACATAAGGCCCAGGGGCCAGATGCGACCTGCGAAGTGGTTTCATGTGGCCCACGAAGCCATCCTGGAGGCAGTGAGGGAACGGCCCCACTGCCTTGGCCCTGGCCCAGGCCAGCCGGGAGCCAATGTACAATTTTGTGGTGGCCATCTATGCTGAAACACATTCAGTCTTAGCTCCACAAGACCGTCCAGAAACAGCAAGGAACCAGCCCTGCCGCATCGGCCCTACCCCCTGGGTGCATGCTAGGGAGGTGTCACCCTTTGTGAGGAATGAAGAAATGCACCATGCCTTGGCACTTGCCCCAGTCCCACCTCCTTCTGCCAGAGACCCTCAGATCTGTCCCACTCCTGCCCAGACCCACAAAGGCACCCTTGACGCGAACGATGTAAAGTTGGCCATGCCCACCCAGTAGGCTACACCCACTCCAGCCATGCCCACCCAGTAGGCTGCACCCACCCTGGCCACACCCACCCAGCCCCCCAAGGGCAACCGCAATGCTGATGAGGCCCTCAATGAAATTGAGTTTGACACCCCTGCCTTATAGTGTTGAAGTTGCGTCATCTCAAGCTATCACTAACATAGAAATCGGACTTTTTGCTATTTATTTATTTATCAAACACATTTCGTAACTGCCCATCTACCTCAGAGAGGGGCTCTGAGTGATGTACAATTTAATCAATAAAATTAAGCATTAAAAGACGAATTTAAGATCATTCTTTTAAAAAAACAAAACAACATTGAAAAATTATAAAAGATAGAGAATTCCAAGATGGGGAGGTTAATACAGGCGGGGGAAGGGTTGTCTCATGGGGCCAATTAACCCCATGGCTATATAACCTGCAAGGCTATACAACCAAGTTTTCACCCTTTTATGGAAGGCCAAAAGATTGGGGGCTTTCCTCACATATGAGGGCAAGATGCTCCGCAGTGCAGGGGCAGTGTCAGAAAACGCCCTCTTCCTTGACTGCCAGTTGAAATTCTTTGAATGATCGGTCTGTAGCAGGCCTTCTGTGCCTGAGCATGTGAGACTGGCTGATGTGATGGGGCGAAGCAGTTCAATAGGTAACCAGGTGTAATGTCATGTAGGGCTTTATAGGTAATAACCACCACTTTGGACAGCCACTTGTCTGAAATTATATAGGTCTCCTGCTTGAGCAGGGGGCTGGACTAGAAGACCGCCAAGGTCCCTTCCAGCTCTATTCTGATTCCCAACTTACCTTGAATTGAACCTGAACACTAGCACACAATGCAGTTCATGAGTGACCGAGCAGAGGGCCTCCCTGTCCTGGAAGGGATAAAACTGGTATACAACACAAAGTTGGAAAAAACCTGTCACCTGCTCTTTGAGCGGGAGTCATGGAGTCAAGAGGACATCCAAGTTTCTGGGGCAGTGCAGTGCAGGGGGGGGGGCATCCACAGCAATTCCATCTTACTCGGATTCAGTTGAATTCTATATCCCCATCCAGACCTCCACAGCCTCCAAGCACCGCAAAAGGGTGTCCTCTTTCTCTACATATATACTTGGAGTTAAGGGACTTTGCAAATATGGGATGTTCCAAATATGTAAGGTAAAAGTGTTAAAATATTGATGTCCTGAGTAATATCGTCACTGATCACTCATTGTGTGCCAAGCCCTAGCAAAAGGTAAGATAAAGTTGAAACCCCTCCAGGCCAGAGATTGTGCTTGAAAGTGTAGTGCCAAAGGAAACAAATAGATCATTTTGCTAAGCAGAGAGTCACTGAACAGTCACCATTTTCATTCATGTTTAGATTTCTGAATGATGAATCATTTTTATGTGCCCTCTCATTTTGTTCCTATTCCTCTATTCAACTGAATACTTGATAACATTTCTAAATGTTGTATATCATACACACACACACGTACAAACACATACACACAAAAGTGTGAATCGTTTGAGAGAAGATTGAGGTGTCATGGATGAAGTTGAAGAGATCCTTAAAAATAGAATGGTGAGAAGTTGAAGAAAAGGGAATGTTTGAAGCAATGTGTATATAGGGAGGTTGGTTGGCAAAGTTGGAAAAGAATAGAGATTTAGTGAATGGTAATATAACTATATTTCTTTTTTTTCCTTATTTCTTTAATTTCTTTCTTTTTTTTGCACCTAAAAGTATAACTAGATAGGTATGTACATTTAATGTATGTGGTTTTCAAGTAA